ATTTTATTAAAATTAGTATTTATTTCTTATATTTAAATTTAAATATTCTCAATTGGAAAATATTAAATAAATTTGTCGAATAATTCTCAATATTAAAACAAAATAAATAAGTAAATATTTATTAGGTGGATATATGGCAAGATCTTTATCACGTTCAGGTAATTAAGATATTTAAAATATTTTTTAATTATTTTTAGGATCAGCAAATACACTTTCCTTATTTGGACGTAGTTTACAAACAAGTGCTTTAGATAAAGTTTCCCCTTTCCACAATGTTGCTGTCCAACGCCCTACTCCCCATTATTCTGATAAATGTTTAGTTTTAAAAATTATCTTTAAAAAATATTTTAATCTTTCAAAGATCCCTATGTTCGTTACAGTTATGGAAATGTTGAAGCTGGTTTGGGGCTTAAAACACAAACTGAAGCTGTTAGTAAATTATATTTATTATTGACTATTTTCCAAAAAACTTAAAACTTTTTTAATAATAAAAAAGAAAAGAAATTGTTTTTAGAAATGAGGGTTTTTTAAATTTAAATTAAACATTTAAAGATGTATCCAAGCTATTATGGAATTAGGGATGCCGGCACAAAACGATGGCTTGAAGGGTAAACAAATAAATAAATAAATAGTTCTTTAAATAATTTTTTAGAAAATTAAATGCCTACAATACAGGATTATTTACAAAACCTTTTAGTAGCAGAGAAACTTCATTTGAAAGGCCTATAGCTCCAGTCCGTTCATATATAAAGTTAGAGGGGGGAAATTATATAAAAATTATATTTAAAAATAATTAATTAAAGATATATTCCAACAGACGATGCTGTTGATTTATTTAAGAAAAAATGTATGACAGTAAATACTTTATCTAAATATTGGTAAATTTCTGACAGAAAAAATATTCCCAAATTATTTTTAAATAAAAGGTTACAAACAACAGGTAGCAGTTTAAGAAGAGAAAGGGATTTTTCAACATATGGTAGGCCTTCTTCTGTTTCTACTCTTACTGGTAAAATTTAAAATAAATTTTGTTTAAAAAAATTAATTTAATTAAAAAAAGGTTCATATAGTACTCGTTATAACCCTCCAGTTACTAGCTTTGCATCAGGAAGATTTAGACGACCCCCTCAATATTATTCTTCTGTTGTTGCCAAATTGGAGGCTTAAAGAAGAAGAAAAAAAGAAAAGAAAAAAAACTTTTAAAAATTATTTTTTAATTTTTTTAAAGTTAAATAAATGTTTAATTTTTACAAAATAAAATTTATTTTTAATTTTTATTTAGACTATTTTTAAAATAAAAAGAACTCAAGATCGTAAATAAAAATTAGCAGTACTTTTTTATTTCAGTTAAGGCTCAGAATATAAAATATTAATCCGTCAAAATTTATACTCATTAAATGGAGTATTTAATCTAATAAATTATTATAAAATTTTTAATTAAGATGGGTAAGTTTCACTTCAGTTACTCTTGTCCCTATCGATGACTGTATTTTTATTCTACTAAAAGGAACTTTTTAGGTATTTTCAAAAGAAATTTTTCCAATAGCATGGGACAATAATTTTGTCTGCGAATGTATGTATTTTTTAATTAAATATTAGAATTTTTTTTGTTCCTTTAAAAGAAATTTTTACCTCTATTCTTGTCGTAACGGGATATCCGCCATGACGTATTGGCATGGCGTTTTGGCCGATTTTGGCGCGCCAAACGAAAATTCTTGCGCACATCCCCGCTCTTAACTGAAGTCTTAGAAAGTCGACAAAACATTAGTTGAACTATTTTCTCAGATTAGGTAAAAAAAATTTCTTAGATTAGGTATAAATGGCTGTATTCTCCAAGTTTATGGCTAAAGTTATTCACAATATGTACTAGTTGTTTTTTATCAACGTTTAGCTGAATTTATACTATTTTTACTTAATATCCAAGTATATACTCGACTCTATTAGCTGGAATTATGTAAATTCGGCAACTGGTGTTTTTCAAAAGTTGTCTAGAAAATCTAGCAAGAAAAATACTGAGATATCCACACATACATATATTCGAAATTAAAAAAATTTGTTTGTAAAATACAATTAAACTATTATATGTACATATGTATTTAAATAAATCTTGCGATAACTCGAAAAATCCGCGAGGTTATCATCTCATGCCGAACACCGATATTAAAATAAGTCGGAAAAAAATCTGGCTGAACTTTTTGCAATAAGACAGAATTAAAAAGAGATATTGATGTACAATCCAGGCAAGATATTCCAAGTTTAATTAAACAAGAACAATACATAGCATAACAATTAAAATTATGAAATTATGTAAACATTTTGACGAAATATAATGTTTAAAAAGAGATGGTCCCTCTTTTATTTTTGACGTTGCACTTCCTCTATCGTGGCATTGATGGGGAAATTTTTATATGAAATTTCTATCTTATCCCTAATGTTATTTTATTTTAATACTCTCTAATTTTCTCGATTTCTTTTCCCTTTACTATCTTTATCCGCCCGACAAAAACGCGTTTCTGTTTTTTCCTCATTTCCATGTCAACTGCACATTGGTTACTTGTGAATCCAAAAGATCAACAAAAAAAAGATAAACAGCGATATTAAAGTTTTAGGCAATTTATTATTCCTTTTTTTCTCTTTTCAGACTCACAAAGATGTTGATTTTTTGGGTTTTAGGATTTTCTCTATTTTAACATCATCTCACCAATTCTCAACTAGCTTTATTCTGCTTACTCGGCCGCCCGCACGCAACCCTTCTGTTTATTGTTTACAAGCTTTATTCATACATACATAGTCACGATGGACACCTGACGTTCTTTCAATGTCTGCCTATACTATATCCACTCTTATGATTTCTCTTTCCATAATGGATATTATAGGGTTATAACATACATACATAAAGATGCAACAAAGATATTAAATGGGTCTTACTCACTAGTCATTTCGGTGTGGATTTCCCCTCGTACACTTGAGGCAATAAAATTTTTAGCCCCGAATTGACCTACTCAACAAAATAATTTTGCCCTCCACGCAAACATTCATCCCACTCTATTGTACTTCTCACATCTCGTTCCCAGACGCTGACTATGCCTGCCCATTACTCTTTTTCTCTCTCCATTACCCTTTATTTCGGGGACCATCTCGATTTTTTCTTAAAAACAACTTTAGAAATCCTTTTATTTTTTGCGCATTTTTCAAAGAATGTGCCGATTTACGTATTTTTGTAATTAAAGGAGGCTTTGTCTGAGACATTTATAAAAAACTTTTTTTTTAATTTTAATCATTTTCTATTGTTTAAGTTCTTAAGCATAAATATTTTTCATGTCAAATTTTAAACTATTTTGCAAAACCTGAAAGTTTTCAAAAAACCAAACCTGCTTAAACTGATATGCACTTACATACATTTCCTTTCTATTAATCAAACACCATGTATGCTTACATACTATTTTGGTGAAAATTTTTAACTGTAGAAGATGCCTTAAAATTTTTATTCGGTATTTTTGTGTCTGGTCTCTATTTTTGCGCATTTTCATATATCCACATTTCACAAATCTATTTAAAGTTTATTAAGCATTTTTATTACATAATTTATTAAGAAATTAAATTTCCATTTAATAAAAGTTAATTTTATAATCGGCCCCGAATTAAATCACATCCCAAATTCTTTAAGGTTTGCTTTATCTAAATTATGGAATTAATTCTGATTAAGAATAAAAACTGGCTTTTAATTAGTTTGCCTTGACCCTTGAATACAAAACTCAAAATTATTTAAATCTTTGTTTTCTTTAACTCAATTTTTGGATTTAGTAGCCTCTTTCATTTATTTTAATTAAAAGATTATTTCCGGTAATTTGATTTTATAAAAATTTTGTGGCAGAAAATATATAAAGGAGACGGTCCCTCATTTTCAAAATAAAAATTGAGGCGGTCCGGCTCTGTGAAAAATGAGGCAGGCGAACTCTCGCTCTTATTGACTGAAAAAATGGCGTAGTATTTCCTCTGCAAAAAATTTATATTGGATTTATTTTGTTATGAATTTTAGGGGGAAATTTTAGACTTTTTCGAATCGGTTCGGGTTTATAGTTGAAATTATTTAAAATTAAATTATTCTTTCTTTCTTTCTTTTAAAAATTCTGAATATCACAAAGGCTTTAAGTATTTTCTTTCAAATTTTACTTTAATTTTAATATAAAAAGTTTAATAAAAACTTTTCTGATATTTTTTTATTAAGAATTAGCGCATTCTTAAAAAATAAATACATACATTTATTCAACACATCTGGCGATTTAACAAAAAATAAATAAAAATATGTGAATTAAATAAGACGGTCCCTCATTTTCTCTCCCAACATTTTTATGTTTCATTTTCTTTTCTTTTCAGCTTTTTTTTCTATTTCCAAGATTTTTTTAAAAACCTGCGGGGTAAATCTTTTGTTGAAAAAGTCTATATTTTAATAAAAGTGTTTTTATAGAATTTTTTTAAAATATTTTTTGGATTTTGTGTATTTAGGCGTGAGGACGTTATGGCGCGTCTTTAATTAAAATCAGATATTAGAGTCTTAAAATGTATAAATATTCCGACTAATTAATTAATTTAGCTGTAAAAATATATTAAAGAGACGGTCCCTCACTTATTGTTATACATAGATGTTTTGTCTAAATAATTTAAACTTTTATGTCTCAATAATATCTCAATTTTTTTCTTTAATGTCTCCTCAATTTTCTTCTCATAATTTTGAAATTTCCGAACTTTTACAATAATTTTTATATCAAATTTTTAAGAAAATATTTCCTAAAATTATAATTTTTATGCCAAACAACTGCTTCATTGACTCAGGACTACATTATATAAATAATTATTCCACAAAATAAGTCATCGAATATATTTTTTATTCCTTCGTTTTTAGCGTCATCATTAAAAATTCCCAAATTTATTATTACAATTGTACAATCATTAAGATCAAAACTACACCGTCACACTATTATTTATTACAAAATACATAAATGGCTTTTAATAGTGATGAAGTGAATTTGCTTGTTTATAGATATTTGGAAGAATCTGGTTGGAATATTTTAATTAATATTTAATTTTGGATGATGACTCTTACCTTAAAATTAATATTTTTAGTTAGATAAGGACCTACTGGTCCCAAAAAATTAGGAAAGTGTTTCCAGCAGTTAATCAGTTAGCGGTTTTGCCACACCCCTCCCCATTTATTCGCAGGATATATTTTCTATTTTTTTAAATCTGTACAGAAAGGCCCATAAATTTTTTGTGAAAAATTAATCCTTTCTTTATTGTTGTTTCATTGAAATGCCACGGGGAAAATTAAGTGAAATTGAGGAAACGAGAAGGTTTGACCATTCTGTACAAATTATGAAAAATTATAAAATATATCCCGCGAATATATGGGGTGGGGGTTGTTCTCCTGGTTTCCCTTTGCGGTATCTATCCACATTTTATGGCAATTTATATATCTTTAGGAAGAGCTATTCAAGCTGAGTCTAATGCCATTAAAATCAATGAGATCTGACTTAAATAAACAAAGTTATTTCCCAGTGAGGAATTTTGTTCAGATTATAGTTAGGCAGGTACAATTTCGGAACTCCTACGCTGAGATAAAGGCAAGTGCATATCCAAGGGTCGGATTCTAGGGAGCTGATAGCGTCTCATATCAAAATTTTTCAATTTTTGATGGCTAAAAATTTTGCGGCTAAGTGGTTAGGGCACTTTTAAAGTGGATGGTACTTTTTATGGACTGCGAATTTTTCATTAAAACAAAAATGTAGTCAGGCATGACCCTTCTTCTTCCGATTTTCAAAAAGCGACAGAGCCATCTCTGATTCACACTACAAGCGCTCTGATTTGCAAACTTTTTTATTTTTCAATTAAACTTTATTTCTATATTTTATGTAACTAGAGACCGGCGCGGGACGGGATCCCGACGGGATTTTCCGGGATCCCGAAATCCCGGATTTTTTTGATTTTTGGGATCAACCGGGGTCCGGGATTTTTTCGGGATTTATCCCTCGGGATCCCGTCCCGGCATCGGTCAAGAAAAAAAATCCCGACTTGGGATCCCGGAAGTGCGATTTTGCCGGTCTCTATATGTAACCATTAATTTCTCCATTTCCTAATATTTTAAAAAGAATAAATATATTAATTTTAAAGGGTTTCGTCATTCCGCATTCACATTTGGTTACGAATCAAGTGTTTTGAATGCCGGCCTTGACAGTATGTCAATTCCTCGAGGAGCATTAATGTCTTTACTTCAAAAAGGCGTTCTGTTCTCCGAAGCAGAAGTATTTTCCTTATTAACAGATGGAGAAATAGATGCGCGTTTCGAGAAGGCAATTGGTTGCATGACAATACTTGAGTGCGGTAAGAGGACATTAAAAATTGGATTTATATAATTAAACTCTCAGTCAGATTTCGTTTTAAACCCAATTTTGAATTTATTTTTGATTTGTTGGGCATTGGTGTTGAGGGAGGCTACTTATGAGATACTATCTTTTAAGGGTGTATCTATAGATGTGGTCCGACTGTATTTAAATTATTTAAAAAAATTTTTTCTTTAAAAAAAGTTCATTTAAGTATTTTTTAGCCATGTGTGACTCTGCAAGAACAAAAGCTTTAAGTCGTCGATTAATGGTAGCTACAACTTCTGCCTCGTCTTCTACAAATACCCAACAACAACAACAAAAGCAACAATGTCCATTAAACGACCAACAAACTTCTGTTCAACAACAGAGAAGAACACCAAGCAGATTAACACCTCAGACACAAATACCAACTACCTCAACTTCTGATCAACCAATTATTACTCCAACAACTTCATCTACAACATCTATAAATTCTACATTTCTTCAAAACCATGGTAATAAAAAATTATTTGTATATTATCCCAACAAATCAGAATACGGTTTCGTTTAGGATGTATTACGTGTAAATAAATATCTCTCTAAACTCTTAGTTTAAAAATTTTTTATTTTAAATATATGTTTTGAAGATCAAAGATCCCTCTAGCTTTCCCAAAAATTTAAAATCAATAATCCAATCCGTTCCTAAATTTCAGCCACAAAAAGAAGCGCAAGTTTAGAGTCTTTTATTTAATCTTTTAAACACTTAATAAAATTTATTCCCTATTTAGTTCTCTATTTTATCATATTTATTTTTTATATCCATCGAACATTTTTGTTTAAAGTTATAAAAAAACTTCACTCTGAATTTTCTGGTGACCCTATATTTATTTATTTCAATAAATTATTTAGAAAAAATAAATAGAAAATTAATTTAAAAAAGTTTTTTATAGTTTTAACAATTAATCCAACGAGTAAATCAAATGAATTTAATTCTTCTTTGTCAAATAAACAACAAATAACAGCCAATCAGCAAATTTGTAGAGATCGTCTTGATTTTTCAATAAATAATAGTAGTAATGGAGGAAGAAATATTCAACACAACCAACAACAACAAAACAACAGCAACAACAATCCTTCCCCTTCTCCATCTTCACATTCTTTACAATATCCACCTAGAGCTTCTTCATCTTCATCAGCTACTTCTTCATTTCCATCATTTAGAGGGGGAGGAGGAGGAACATCCACATATCAACAACAATTGCAAAATAATGATAGATTATGTCAAGTTGTAGAACAAGTTGCTGCTGTGAGTTTAAAAATAAAAGTTTGAGATTTTTTAAAATTTTTTTTTATTTTAAAGTGTAATCCAGCATTAACGAGCACTTCCTCAACATCTATTACTGTCTCTAATCATTTACATCCTGGAACAGCAGCCACTTCATTAATGAATAATCATCCATTTTATCAACAACATAATTTTAAACAACATACTGCAACAACATTAGCAGCGACAGCTACGGCAACATCTTCATTTTTACCAACAACAGGAATTCAAGTAAACAGGATATTTATAATTAATAAAAAATAAAAGAAAACCTGGACAGTCTAATTTAGATTGTGATTTTTTTGACTATTTGTCTTTAAATAAGGCTTTTCGATTTTTCCATATAATTAATTATTATTTTTGAATAACTAAATATACATATATCTCCTGCCGTATTTTTAATTTAAACAAATATCTTTTTCTTTAATTTTTAAGATGTCCAACGGTACAATGAATGGTCCAACAACTTCTGTCAGTTTCCCAACACCTTTATCTTCTTCCTCAAATTTATCATCAACAATGCCCCCTCATCAACAACATCATTTACATCCTCATCAAACAACACCTCATACTGTTTTGGGCGCTACAACTTTAAATCAACAACAAACAGCAGAAATGACACGTTTAATGTTAAATGGAGGAAATAGTACTGCTGTAGCAGCTGCTGCGGCATACAATATGGCGACAAGTGGGGGTTCTTCTATCAGTCATTCATTGAAAAGAAGTGCTGGAGGGAATGGATAGACTTGAAAAAAGAATTAAAAATTTGTTTTTTTTTGTTTTTTATTGTTGAGGTAAATGTTATTCGTGCGATGATTTTTATTTACTAATTGCCGCCTCTTTTTGTTTTGATTACTTATAAAAAATATTGTTAAAGGATAAGAAAGAAAAATATTTCTAACAAAACATTTTCAAAAAATGTCTCTCTATTCAAAATCATCGGATTTCACAAAATATTTTTATTCCTATCATTGCATGAAGAAAATATTATTGTAAATTTATTTTAATCATTGTCTTTAAATTAATGTTTTTTCTAAAATTTCACTGTATTCTAGAATTTGCAGGATTGACACAAAACTCGAGAGAAAAAAAACTCAATTTCTTTTTGTTATGGTATTATTTTACTGAACAAAATATGTACATTGTTATTTGAATTTTAAATGTTAATCTAAACATTTTTTGAATAATTTATTCAAAATTTATTAAAACCCAAAGAATCTCAAAAAAAAGATCTCAAAAAATTTTTGATCTTTCTGATCTCAAAAAAAAAGAATCCTTGCACAACTACATATAGTGAAATATCTGAAAGAATAAATACATAAAAATTGATAAGGATTTAACAAAGTTGTTTTTCTTTCATTTGATGTAGTTATTTTTTAAAGCGTGTCCGGACATTTGGGGAGTGGACAAAAATTTTACCCAAAAATTTGGCTGTAGTGTAGTGTACCGGTGGTAAAAGTTCGGGACGTGACATATGTCATTCGATTCGTCTCGGCGAGCTGGTTCGAACGGTACCACTCCCTACTTTAGGAAATGATTCTGGACCGAGTTATAGGTCCCGAAAAATCGAAAAACCATAGGGGGGACCAAGCAATTTTTTGGGGTGAAAAATTCGAATATGCAAATTATACCTCATTCGAAAGAGCTCGTCGAGCTGAGTCGAATGACACCAAAATCATCGAAATCCGACATGATTTGACAAAATTATGCTCGTTTGCTTTAGCTCCTTACCTATGGTGTTCATGGAGGTTTTTGCTGCTACGGAGGCTCCAGTTACGTCCAGAGCAAGGGAAATATGAATAGGGTTATGTTACGAGCCCAGACCCAGCGCCCGTAGACTCCCCGCGAGGCGCGTGCCGCAAAACTCCGCGCGAAGCGCGGAGTTTTGCACAAGCGCCTCGCCGACGCCCCATAGGTATACGTTGTTTGTTTTTGTGTCGTAACTTTGCATAATATTGTTCAATCGCTATGATTTTGGTGTCATTCGACTCAGCTCGACGAGCTCTCTCGAATGAGCTATTACATGTTTTTTCGAATTTTTGACCATAAAATCCCACTTCTGGTTTTTGACCATTTCGAGCCCTCTATCTCGACTCAAATATCTTCAATCAAACTGATTTTGGTGTCATTCGACTCAGCTCGATGAGCTCTTTCGAATGAGCTATTATTTGCATATTCGAATTTTTCACTCCAAAATGAGCTTACTCCCCCCTATGGTTTTTCGATTTTCAGGGACCTATAACTCGGTCCAGAATCATTTCCTAAAGTAGGGAGTGGTACCGTTCGACTCAGCTCGCCGAGACGAATCGAATGACATATGTCACGTCCCGAACTTTTACCACCGGTACACTACACTATATCCAAAAATTTATTTTATTACATTTAATTTATTATTCAGAGATTCATATCTTGGTTAGTTTATGTGATGGCCGACTGATTTTCACGTCATTTGAATCGGAATGATATAAAGATTAGAATGATATATAGATTTCCTATATAAATCTGGGTAATTCTTATAAAAAAATTTTGCTTAAAATTCGAGTTTAATCAGACTAAAATGTAAAATTTAAAGGTAATTAAATTTTTCAGAGTTGTGAATAAAATAAAAAAGAATTATCAATTTATTTTGAGCTTGGAGCGAGATACATACGCGTGATAAAACAAAAAGGGCAAAACAGAAAATCAACGCGATCTGACTTCATTTGATAAAGTTATACGATTTGTTTTTGCCTCCGCGGAAAGAAAGAAGCCCCGGAAAAAGCCGGGCATGTCGAGCGGAACGACAGCCGCTTCGCTATGGTCGCCACAAGCGAAGCGAGCACAACCGTGACGAAGCATGTAGTGATATATCATCGTGCAGCGATGACATGTTTGTCCTAATCGGAGTACTATGTATGGGAGATATGACGGAATTCTACCGATAGTTTACAAATATTAGACCCAAAAAGTGTGTGTAAGAAATGTAGGTCCACGTGTTTTAAAGAAAGGATTGCGCATAACCCCTTTTCATCATTTTTACGTGAAAGATTAAAAATATGGTCGCCCACACCCAGTTCTTTAGCTTTCACGTATAGATATGTGTATGTTACGCACATACATACTCTTTCTCTGAAGATTATGGCGCTTCACGAAAATTTTGGCTCCTATACAACTCATCTAATCGTTAACTCATCTATTCGTTAACTCATCTACACGTCCAAAAAGGGTCAACTCATCTAATCGTTAACTCATCTATTCGTTAACTCATCTACACGGCCAAAATGGGTCAACTCATCCAATCGTTAACTCATCTAATCCTTAACTCATCTACACGGCCAAAAACGCTCAACTCATCAAATCCTTGAAATATCGGCCGGTTGAGTCCCTGGTCAGTTGAGTCTCAACCGGCCCAAGACTCAACCGGCGGTAATCAACCACTCAAACGGCCGGGACTCAACTGGCCAGGGACTTAACCGGCTAGAGACTCAACTGGCCATGGACTCAACTGGCCATGGACTCAACTGGTCATGGACTCAACTGGTCATGGACTCAACTGGCCATGGACTCAACTGGTCATGGACTCAACTGGTCATGGACTCAACTGGTCATGGACTCAACTGGTCATGGACTCAACTGGCCATGGACTCAACTGGTCATGGACTCAACTGGCCATGGACTCAACTGGTCATGGACCCTACTTACCAGAGACTCAAACGGCCATGGACCCTACTTACCAGAGACTCAAACGGCCATGGACCCTACTTACCAGACTCAGACGGCGAGAGACTCAAACGACTGGTACTCAATAGTCTCGTTCAAAGGATTGGATGAGTTGAGCGTTTTTGGCCGTGTAGATGAGTTAAGGATTAGATGAGTTGATGATTGGATGAGTTGACCCTTTTTGGCCGTGTAGATGAGTTAACGAATAGATGAGTTAACGATTAGATGAGTTGACCCTTTTTGGACGTGTAGATGAGTTAAGGAATTTTAGCCGTTTAGATGAGTTGAACGTTTTTGGCCGTGTAGATGAGTTAACGAATAGATGAGTTAACCGGACACGAAAATTTTTATTGATTCCCATGTTTAGGACGACATTATGCCTAAGGACTTTAAGACAAGAATCAACTTCGCTCAGAACTGTTTGCCAGCAAACTTTCGTCATTGTTCTTAAATGCATTGTTATATGTAAACTTCATATAGTGTTGCTTTCCAAGTAATCTTTCTACACATATACATCATATTTCGAACATAAATATTAACTGTGAGGAAAAATAGATCTAAAGCAAAATGAAGGTGGTATTCACAATCCCGGAAATCTTAAAAAGGAATGACATAATAACATTTTTTCTTTGACGAACAGTCCTTTGACATAAAGTCCGTTGACGAAATATATAGGATGATTTTTGTATAATTAAAAGAATGTTTGAAAAAATTTTGAAACGAATTTCTTAATTAAATAAGTGATGAGAGAGAAAAAAATATAAGCAATGATAGAAAACAAATTTCATAGTGTCTGGCCAACTCCTTTTTTGTGAAGATCTACCGACCGAAACCAATTGTTTTCTTGAGGATATTTATAATCTTTTTTCAAATTAACATTTTACTTGATCGAATTTGAGTTTACGTGATTTTTGAATAGTTAAATGTCTTTTAGATTTATCATCCTTAGCGGATGTTATTTGCGGAAGAAATGAATCCTTCATATTTTGGTGCGACAACACTCGGTGGTAATCCATCTGCGTTGCCGCCGGCATCGATGGACATGACTGCATCTTGGAAGCCTATTGGCCATAATTCTACTGATTTCACACCTATTTACAATGTAAGCGATTTTAATTTCACTTTATTTTTCCTGGTCCTTTAGTTTGTCGGGATACATAATCTAAGAATACGTAGCTTCTTTTAAAGAGTAAAGAGCGTTTTTGAATAGTTTTCTTTAAATTAATTTTGTGTATTTTGAGAATTTCTATGTAATTTCTAATTACCTTATGAGTTTTTCACTATTTTACTAACATTTTGTCTTTGAAGGTTTTAAACATGATTAATCTAATAAATTTAGGATTCCACTGCAGGTGGTGGCCCGGGTATTGGTAGCAAATTGATAACTATATGGGGACATCCAATGGATTACAACGATACCGGGCATGCCGATCCCACAGCATCTTCGACCTATGCTGCTGCAGCTGCTAACTTACCAAATTATCCTAATAACGGATTTTGTTGGAATGATTCTCAACAACCTGCATCAGCATTTCACCAAATTCCACCACAATATGATCAAATTCCTTTCCAGCAGCAAGAAACTAAATTTACCGGTTTGAGTTTGAAAGCAACTTTTGTAACTTGTATATTATCAATTTTAGCAGGCAGTCAATGGGGTAAAACAGAAATTGACCAAACAATACCATGGAATCTCGAAAATAATGGTTATTTTTATGGTTTAATTCTCAATGTTTTATATTTAGCAAGTATTCATGACCAGTCATTCCATCCTCAGCAACAACCTCATCCACCTCAATCGCATCGATATAATCGTAATAGTAAATGGGATCAGCAGGCACCTATTCGAGACGATGGTTCTGCTTTTGGTAATAATCTTTATGCGACAACACCTCCTTATGGAATGGTGCATACTTTTGGTGGTGTTGGTGACAATCGTTTGGTATTTAAAATCCACAATTATTTTTATTCTTATATTTTTAGATTCCCTCAAATGCCCAAAGAGGAAATGCTGGACCGTCTCAGCGTTGGGGTGATACTATTGGAGGAGGTGGAGGATCTACAATTCCTAGTCAAATTGGAAAATTTGGTGGATGCGAAGTAATCAGTGTGATGCCTCATACTAATGCAGGTCCACCTCCTCATCATCCACCTCATCAACATCGTGGACCGCCTCAAATCAGAGGTAGTAATGGTGCTATTTTTACTGCTGGACCGCCACCATTACACATTGCTCCACCTTCAAATCGACCGCTTCCAAATCATCCCTCGCATTTAATTGGTGGGCACATGGGTGGACCACCGCCAGCACCAACTCCACTTTTGCCATCATTAAACCAGCAACCAACACATTCGATAGGAACATTTGGTAATGGAAGTAATGGAGTTCCCTTGGTAGTTTTTAAATTTTATATGCTGTCAATGAGATTATATTTTTTTTAATTTAGCACATCCAAGGAAATGTTCCTCCAAATGGCCCCAACAATAATATCCAAACTGGTCAGATTGATGATGCTTATTGGCATTGGCAAGATCCAAATAGTATTTATATATTTTTTGTTTAAGTATTAATATTATTTTTTAGGTCAGCTACGCAAATGGAAACATGATACTGGCATAGCTATTTGGGGAGACCCAATAAAGCAGGCTAATATGCCAATTAAGCGTTGGACAAATTTTACAACTGATGAAGTTGTAACTGAAGTTATGCCTGGAGGTTATTCTTTTAATTTTTAAACTTTTCATTATTGGCTTTTATGTTTTTTATTTTCGTAAATGGATTTTTTGCCAATTGACTACCCATAATCTGCCTTGATTTAAATTTTTTGAAAATATTCCTTTATTTTTATAGTAGAATCTACTTTCAATCAGGGCTGCCGCCAGAATCATCCGATGGGTGGGGCTTAATTTTTTAATCAAAATTTTACGCAAAGTTTGACACAGATGGAACTTTTGTATTTTATGTAACGCAAATATTTTTATTTTATTCACTACACTTTTTTGAGTTAGTTACGTTCTAATAGTAAACGAACACTTCTGGCAAACAGCCCTGATTGCTTTATCTAATCATTAGCTTTTTACTGGCGAACACCAAAAATATAGTTTAGGCAAAAAATTTTTTCGTCAAATTTTCCACTGTTGGTCAAACTTTATAATTTTTTATTAGTTCAATTACATGTATATTTTTAAACAGACGTTTCAGGTTGGGGTGATTTGCCTCCAATTGGTACAAATGTAAACAATATAAACTCGAACAACAACAACAATGGAACTACAGATAATAGTAATCATACGAGTGATAACAATGCTAACAGCAATGTTCTTCAAAATTTTGGCAATCATGGACAAGCTCCAAATAATCAGCAACAAACAAATAGAAGTAACTCACTTTCTGCCGCTACAAGAGGAGGTTTTAATTTATTTGGGTAACTAGCAAGGGTAACTAACATTACGCACTTGGCATTACGGATTCGTAACGACAACATACCCTTGTCAAATACTTTCTTTACTATTAGGCGATATTTTCTAAGTACTTTTTTATTTTAATTAAAAAAATAACAGATTGGTCAACTGGTAATGTTATTCTTCCACAACAACACAATCAGCAACAACAATCTTTCAATCAAAATGGAATGATATCAGGAGGGAATGGTCAATTTTTTAGTGGTATGCCTCCAGCATCCTCGGAAACTCCAGTTTCAACTGTTGGCCAGTCTTCGATTTTCCAACCACCACCTTCACTTCTTTCTTCTATGATGGTAGATCCAATAACCGGTCACGCAAATTCGGATATTGATCAACAATCTACTGGTGGAAATGGAAGCGGAGAGTCAACTTCTAGAAAAGCAACTGTTAGTCCTCCGGATGGAACCAATTCTTTTGGAGGTGGAGTTAGACAACCGCCACAACAAACCACGCATCGTCAAGCGAACAAGAAAGGTTTCTTTTATTATATGTTTATTTATAATATACATATCTGTCCATTTAAAGTAAGTCTAGCTGATGAGCTCTCCTCTTTGGTTGTAAGCAACAATCATGGACTTGGTGGTGGTATCTGGTAATTTTACCAGCGATTACATAATGCAGTTTATGTTGCTTTTGGACTCAAAAACCTAAAAATTGTCATCTCCTTTATTGTCGAATTTGATTGAGACAAAACTTACTGGAAATACGAACTTATACATATATACTGTTAGACCAAATGCGTTAAACTTCATTTTTATCAATTTAATCTAATCCAAGTTAAGCTGCTATTTTCTCATTTTTTCAAAGGTTTAATACAATTTTTGGATATTATATATTTTAAAATATTTTGCCAATATAAGAGAAAGCTTTGTTATTTTTGCAATTTAAATTAATTTCGAAAATTAATTTGACAAATAGTATTTATTCTGTTTTTGTTTAAATCATTCAGATTTTGAGCTTCTTTTTTATGCGTCTCGATCTTTAAAATGTTTATATAACAGAATAAATACTTTGTTAAATATGTAAAAATTGCAAAATCGTCCTTAGCATCATTTTTTTATTTAAAAATATTAACAAACAAAACGGGGGTTTTTATATTTTTCATTTCCGTCTTTAAATGTATTTTATATTTACTAAATTTATTTTCTATCATATATTTAGAATATGTTTGCCTCCAATAAAAAATCAACTTATTTACTCAATGACATTACATCCCACTTTTTGTTTTTTTTGCTTTCTTATAATCACAATCAAGCTAACTTGTTTCTTTCATAAAATGTCTCTCCAAATTAATCTCTTATTTTACTTATTAATAAAAACGCAAAAACAAAATTTTCGATTAATACATACATTAGATTCTTTACAAAAAATTTTGAGCCTATACCCTCTTCCAGTTTGAGTATAACATGTGAAAGAATGTATTTAATTAAGACTATATAAAATTGTTTTAGAGCGATAATTGAATATTAAATTATTTTGAAATTTTTAGTAAATTTTATAGCTCTACAAACAATTATTCCTAAAGTAAAACTTTTATTTGTTAAAATTTGTGACTATTCCCGAGCGTTTTTCTCTTTGTATATCACCTTTTTTATTTTAATTAAGAATATATATCGTTTACATACCTAATTATGGGATTTTTAATTCAGGGATTGGATTAATTTTTAACAAAAAGTGTGAAAAATAATTTTTCGATTCGACCCCTGTTTATATTCAGGGATTAATAAAACCTTCCAAAAATGTTATTTCTCTTTTTTTAAATTGTCAAAAAATTAATCAATTTCTATTGTCACACGAACCTAAAGTTATCTCACGAGTAAGTTGTTTCTTACAAGTTTTCCCTTTAAAAATATGTAATTTTGGAAAGCAAAAATGTCCCTACAAATTAGTCAGTATTGTAAATTAGACCTTTTTTGTGACACTTGCGCCCTTATAATACTTTTGGATCTATGTATATTTTGTGTATTACCCTATTCATTTTTAAATTATCTATCTGAATATAAGAATGTTAACTACAAAAAAAATCAAAAAATATTCATAATTTTTATTTATTAGTAGCCAAATTTGTATTTTATCGTCCGATAAATATACAAAATATATATCCAATTGTAATTATATAATATTGTGATTCAAAGGGATGTTCTGTGTATTAGATTTGTTTTTATTTTGACTAATCGCTCCAAAAAAAACTAATCAAAAAAGTGTTGAGTATTTCTTTTTAATATCTCAAAATATCTACTAAATCATTCAATTTTTCTTTAACAGTAAGGTGCAAAAGTCTATCCTATAAACGGCATAAACTTTGTTCCGCTAAAATTGGAGGTAGATAAGTTTTGGCACTTTTAACTTTTGCACCTTACTGATTGTCCATTTAATTAAACTGGAGATGGGTAAAATTTTCTGTCGCTGAATGTGCTCTATACTAGTACTACTAACATTCTCTAAATTTCTCACCTTTGTAAAATTTATGTTAATCAAATATTTACTAGTTAAATTTTTCATTATTATAAATTTATAATGCACGTTAAAATTTAATTTTAAAAAGTAAGTTGATTCTTAGTTAGATGACATACATTTTAGAGCTAAAGTGCACTTTACCGGAAATTTTAGATTTTGACAATTTATATGTTTTTCGATTTTTGTTTTTCGATTTCGCTCACTACATATGTTGATACCCCAGAAAGTAAATACATAAACCTTTTTTTAAAATTCTAGGGGGAACAGTTAGTTTCGATTATTTATTTAATACTGCTTCACTTCAGGAAACTATTAGAAAATGGTTATATGCAAGTTTTGCTTTTGCGGTGTTTAATGTTTTTGCCTGTTTTATGGGCGGATGTGCTTTGAGCATATCCTGGCAAACTCAGTATAGTACATATTATGCATATGAGTGACTAATACCCAAAAGACCACAAAATCTAAGCTCAATTTTTGAAAGCAATTTTTATAAAAGAAATGGTCAACTGGATGTCGATTTTATGGCATGGGCAAGTCTATCTATCGACTTTTTTATATGCAGCTGGTGCATTATTCTAACAATATATGACTTGGAGAGTGAGTGAGTAGATGTGGATATGCATTGAACTTTTTTGTGGTTGGTTAGTTTTGAAGATTCCAGAGGAAAGCAGCCTTAAGAAATATTATGAATTTTATGAGTTTCTATTGTTATCATTAGTTGATGCGACAAAATGTCCGCGACAGAAAAGTTAAAACAAATTTAGGAAATTAGAAACAGCAACAAATGAAAACAAAAATTTCCAACGTCGCACTTTTTCATAATTCACTCAGAAGTGACGTTTCACCCTAAAATTGTCTAGTTTGCAAGTTAATGCTGGAAATTACCTTAAAAATTATTTAAATCGGCTTAAAAATTTATTGTCAACAATTTATGTATTATAACTTTTTGTATTTAACTGTAACTATTTTTCATTGTTTTTATGCTTCTCATCAACTTTTATAAGTAGAAGCAATGACTGCATTATCCTAAATAATCAAATCTATAGATATTACTGCATAACTATATATTCCTAAAGGAGAATGTTTTAAAGAAAATATGATATAAAAGGATGAGTCCATCGTTTGGCCTTTTTTAGGATCCTGGATGAGTCAAAAAAAGGACAGCACGAAATGCGGGAATTGTAATAGAAAAGAAACGCAAAAAAATTTTTTTTCACTTTCTATTTTCATTTTTCCCGTCCCTCTTTGTCCACCCCAACATCTTGCAAAGTTAAATGTAGTAGTAGTAGAAACTGCTTCCCTTTTCCCTCAACTAGAGACTCAGCTTGAATTTCAGTAGTTCGACTACTACTACACATACATAAATATAAGGGGGGAGATGGAGGAGACTTTTTTTGTTATGTCCTTCCCTTTGTCATGAATGATGAGGAGTGGCAATAGCGCCGCCAAAGCCTTTTTCATTTAAAAAGAGTGCCCCTGAAATTGCGATTTTAATAGCAAGAGAAGCGGGATGAATCAATAAATTTTACTCGTCTTGAATTGTTTTTTATTATTTATTTCTTTTATAAATATTTGTATATGTATTTTTATGTTCTTTTTTTTTATTGTTTAATTTTTATTTATTTATTGGTATTATTTTCTTATAAGAAATTTTCCGGATTTAGCCGCTAGGGATTAATCTGATTTATTTCAAATAATTTGCAAAACTTTAAGTTGATTTAAATTTTTATTATTTTACTATATTTTTAGGTATTTTAATATTTGAAAGTTTTGGAATATTTTTAAAATAAATCTTTAAATATGTGCATATATTCTTTATATTTAGTATTAATTAGTTATTAGTAAAAAAGATTATTATTATAATTAGCAGTAATTTTGAAATTAGAATTAGTTGCTGTTGTTGTTGTTGTAGCGCTGTGCGCAATTCTGCAGCACTGCATCATCATCAAAACATTTGGGGGTCGTTATCTTAAAAATATTGCTCCCTAGCAGAGAAAGCGTTTCCGCCATTCCAAGGGAATGCGTAAACGACGGCGCCGCTGGAAATTTAAAGAAAAGGAACATTAAAAACAATAAAAAAAGAAAAGAAAATAAAGTTTTAAAAATTAATTGTGAAAACAACAAAATTTGTTATGAAAATGCAGCAACCTCAAGTAGAGGAAATAATTTTACGTTGGAAGTGGAGATGGAGAAAAAAGGTAAAAATTATTGTTTGTGTGGGTAGGTTTGGTGGATTTTTGGAAATCCTTGGATATTCGAAAGCGGATTCGTTATGTCAGTTGGGAATTTTGGAAGACAAAGAAGCCAAATTTAATTTTTAGCGCAAAATAAAATACTGGGGGAGGGAGGAGGTCAGGGAAATCTTTAGGAGTTTATGGGAATTTTTACCATTACTTGTAGATACATAAAGTTTTTTTTGGATATCCTTAACATTTTCGGATTCACTAACCCTGTCTAGCTAAAAACTTTTTATAAATTTTTCTTCTTAAAATCAGAATTTCCTATTAACAACATTAATTCTTGTATTAAAACTATTCCAAAATTATTTAACTCCAACAGTAATTCTCAGCATTTTCCCAGTGAAGAACTTAATTTTACAATTGCAGAACATCGAAAAAAGCATAGAAGAAGAAATGAAATTTTAATTCCATTTTCTGAAAATTATCAAAAAATACGGGTCATTTCATCTAATATTAAACAACATTTATTATTTAAAAATTCACTCCCTCTAGAAAGGAGACAAAAGCCATTTTGGGTAAAATTTAAAAAAAATTTATAAAATTTTAAATGTAAAGTAGTTAATAAATTTTATTATCGGTCGTTTCATAAAAAACAAAAAAGTAAATTTATATATTAAGTAGCTTGTGTCCCTAACTGGTTTCAGCATCGTATCAATCGAATAAAATTCGCTTGAAACAGATCGTGTTTCAGGTCTTAACACTGGTCATTTGCACCCTAAATTTTCATTTTTGATATTTCTCAATCTTTCATAATTTTCATAATAAAATTTTAATTTTTAAAGCGATATACAAAAACAATTAATTTGGTGCTATTTTTACAATTGCTTATTTTATTTTTAATACTAAAGCCTTTATCAACTTTCTTTCTTTATTCAACTGCCTCTGAAATTTCATTGAATGAAACAAATTCTTTTGAAGATTTTGAAGAAAATATTTATCAAAATTTTACTGAAAATATTTGGAAATTTCAACAATTAAATAATGAAAATAATTATTATAAAAGATTTAAAAGAAAAAATGATTGGAAGCAACAAAAATTATCAAAACAATTATTTACAAAAATGGTAATTAATTAATTAATTTAGTTTATCCTCCAAAGTTCTCAAACTGTATTAACATAATTGGACCTCACTTTTGAATACCCCTTGAGCTTAAAACTGAGGTCTAGGAGTTGGAAGAAGCACCGGGAATTTAAAAAGGGCCAGGGAGCTATTGGGGGATTTGGAGGGATATCAGGATTATTGAGGATTCACAACTCCTGAATCCTTCGGTGTTCTTTTTAATATTTGGAGATTTCATATGTATTGTAAAAGATTTAAAAGAAAAAATGATTGAAAAATGTTAATTTGTACTTTTAACTGTTTAAGAAAATTAATTTCATAATTTGTAGTTTAACAATTTTACAACATACACTTCGTTCCAAAAGTATATAGCCACCCTTGTTTTATAGGTTTCTGATATTGGGAAAAATCTACAAAAATTTTTGTGAACATATCTATCAATATAGATAAGAAATACAAAAGAAATGAAGTTCTGATGTACTTGCATCATCGAGATCTTGAAACCCAAAAATCAACGGAAAACTGGGGGTAGACGTTTTTAAAAAATATTTTCGACCCCTTACGGTCGAAATAAAAATTTCATTTTGGGCTTATTTGAAAGCCCTTGAAATTTGCTACAAGATAGTTTTCATCTTCTAATGAAGAAAAAATTCTTCTTTGAGAAATAATGAGTTTAGTTTATAAGTTATATTTTTTCAAATTTTTGGGGGGCTTTTGAGTGATTTTTATGACCTGAGAGTTTATCACATTAGGTCTTACAGTTGAATTTTTTTCGGAAAATAAAATTAATGCTATCTTGTAGCAAATTTCAAGGGCTTTCAAATAAGCCCAAAATGAAATTTTTATTTCGACCGTAAGGGGTCGAAAATATTTTTTAAAAACGTCTACCCCCAGTTTTCCGTTGATTTTTGGGTTTCAAGATCTCGATGATGCAAGTACATCAGAACTTCATTTCTTTTGTATTTCTTATCTATATTGATAGATATGTTCACAAAAATTTTTGTAGATTTTTCCCAATATCAGAAACCTATAAAACAAGGGTGGCTATATACTTTTGGAACGCATTAATTTTGAGTTAAATCAAATATCCCCTAATTTCTACTCGTATATTTTCATAACGCATAAAATAACATTATCAGATCTTTAGAATGGGTCTAAAAAATATTTCAAATTAATCATAACCCATTTAAAAATTTATTTAGCTAGAAATTTAGTAAAAAAATTGGGTGGCTATATACTTTTGGAACGGAGTGTATTTATATATTTTTAAAGGGATTAATTGAAGAAAAAGGACTACAACTCGAAATGTGTCATGTTTGGAATAAAGGATCGCCTTCTGAACTTTGTGCATTGAATAGATGGGAAAGAATTAAACGAATGGAGTAAGTTTTGATTTGTATTTGTGAAATAGTATAGGTGGTTTTGTTGCTGCATTATGTATATCTGTAACAATTGGATCAAGAAAATTATGTGATATTATTCTATTTATTTTCTTATTTGCATACATAATTTAGATAATTTTTATTTTTTAAACATTTTTTAGTGAGTTATCTCTATTTACAATATGCGCTGAAGGCTTTTCAAATTTACAATTGTCTGACATATTTCAATTAAACGTTATCAACAATCATGAATCAGAATCTTCACTTATTTCATTTGTGGAACGTCATCTAAAATTGGGTCAATTAGGCCAATCCTGTATTTTAGGAGATGCCCATTCTTCTGAATGTTTAATTTGTTTTGAGCGTTTGGGAACTTCTTTAGAAAAATTAGAAAAAACTTTTTGGTCATTTTCACAATTATTACAACGCTTTGATTGCCGTCAACAACAAAAAGATTTGGAAAAAGAAAATACAATAAAACAACAACAAATTTCAACAACAAGACCTTTTTCACCAAATACAACGTGTGACAATTGCGCGGTCATTTTTTAAAATTAAATCAGTCTAAAATAAGGATAATGTTGTCCTCCTGTAGCTCTTTTCAATAGGAAATAGTCAAGAATAAAGGGCAATAACGGCCAAGAAAACAAATTCCGACTTACATTTTGACCTTAGTCGATAGGTGATTTGTTAATATTCCCAAACTACTCGAACTTTTGAGGTTCTTAAACCCCTCTACATATGTCTATAGTAAAAGAAATGAAATTCTAAAAGAGATTAATACTTTATAAATTTATTTTTAGGAATGGTACAGAAAATGGTTATTAGTTAATTTAGTTGAAATATGGAAAAGAAAAGGTTTTAAATATTTAAATTAAAATATTTAATTTAAATAGTTTGCATTAATTGGTGCTATTACACACAACTTGCTTGTCCACATTTGGCAACAAATAAAGTTGTGGAGTTTGCCGGTCATCCTGTTTTTTTATGTAGAGGTATGTACATATTATTAGTGTTTGGTATTAAAGAATGTGCCCAAAACTTGAATAAGAAAAAAACAAAAATTTTAAATTTTTCCGAGACAATTATTAAAATATTCGGGGAAAAAGTGGTGGGGTGTGAATATTAAAAAATAAATTTTTAAAGATCAAATGCTTTCAACAACAAAATCAACAAGCGCTCTCGACTGCTCTTGTCTTCATCCCTGTGATTTGATACGCAACAAAATTGCTCAATTCACCGTTGAATCTGAACAATTCAATTCTTCTTCTGCTAAAAAACAACAAATAACAACAACATTCGATTTCTTTCATGTTTCTGCTTATTGTCAAAAAAGAGAAAAGCGTTGCCGTGCAAAAACAATTACCAAAAAGAAAAATTAGAGAACTAAATTTCGAAAGATAATTTTTTGTTTGGTGGCCTTTAAAATTAAAAAAAAAATAGGAGCTAATTATGTATATGTTTATATATTTATGTTATAGTTAGTTGAATTAAATAAAATTTTAAATGAAGTGGCTGTTACCTAATATAGGTTTTACAAAATTACAAGAGAATTGTTGCCTATTCTATCCCGGGTGTAAAATAAGATTTAAAAATATTTTTAAGTTAAAATTGTTTTTCTTGCAATAATTATTGTACAAAAAATAATAACACAAAAAGTCACAAAACAAACAAAAAATAAATTTAATTGATTTCCTACAGGTATTTGTATTATTTTAAATTTTCCCTCTTTTTTGTGGAATAGTGAAAATGCAGAAATATTTTTAGAATTCGTTAGAAGACCACATTCTGAAGGGATCTTTAAAAATATATTTAATAAAGAATATAATATTTATTTAGTATTTACTTGTTGAATAAGCCTTTTACAATTTATGTCATTTAACAAAGTTTCGTTATTCTCTGTACAATGAAGGAAAACATTTGGAGCTTTAAATTTAATATCTAAAAATTATTTTATATTCCAAAAATTTTTTCAAAATAATTAGTAACCTGCATTTAAATTTATTCCTTTAGGATCAGGACTGTGATAACGAATCTTGACAGGCAAATAAAAATAATCGTTCAATAAAAATGACTTTGTTGGGAATTTATTTGAATTAATAAAAATAATTATTGAAGAATATTGAGGAGATTCTAAAAAAGAATAAATAAATAATTATTTTTTTTAATTTTAATTACCGCTATTTGAATTATATGGCTTTTCTACATCAAAATCAAAAGATGAAAAAATGCAATGTTTTGTGGAAGAAATATTTCTCTGATTAAAATGATGTTTTAAACTAAAAGGAATTCTTCCTTTTTTGATAAAAATTTAAATTTCTACCTTCTCAAATTGAGATAAGCTCCTGGAGGAATTTCAAAACGATAGGAGAGAACACAGCCAATTAATCTATTTTTACTTGACAAATGTGAAGAAATGAAGATTTGACGATGAAAACCAGAACCCAAAACCTTCAAAGTTTAATTATCTATTAAAAGCAATCAAACACCTAGGGCTTTTAAAATTTTGTGCCTGCTTGGATAAATTAAAAAGAGAATATAAAATCTCACATCAAATTCCAAATTTGTTTCAATTAAAGGGCAAGCTTTGATAAAATTGAATAAATAAATTAAAGTAATACTAAAGAATTTTGTAAACATTTGTACATACAAAAAAAAATAAAACTATATTTTTAAAAATTAAAAAAAAGTAAATTGAATTGTACAAAATATACATTCCCTTATTTAAATAAAAAACTTCTTTTTTAAATTATTTTGACAATTTATGTAAACTACTAAATGATTTTGTTCTAATTTTTTTCTCACTTAATTCTTGAAGAATTAATAATCTTTTTTCTATTTCATTAATTTCTTCTTCTTTTTCTTCTTCATTATTTCCCTTTTCTTCTCTTATACTTAAAATTTTTTAATTAAAATATTATTTCAATTTTTACTTTATTGAAACAAGTAAACTTCTTATTTTTGAATTTAAAAGTTTTGTACAAAGAAAATGTCCTTTTTCGTCTAACATTTGATTAAAATTTAATTGTTGTATTTGAATTGCCTTAAAAAATAATTTGAACATTTCTTCTACATAAATTCCCTTTCAAAATTACCTTCAAATAATCTTCTTTATTAATTACTTTAATAAATTCACAAATTAATTCAAAATCTTGTTTATTTGCCCAAGATGATTTTAAATAAATATTTTTCCAATTATTATTTTGATATTGAGATAAATATTGTTGTTGTAAATCAGTTAATTTAGAAGAAATAAATATTAACAAAATAATTCTTAATTCTAATGCCAAAATTGGAAAATAAATTAACAAATCTTTACTTTAAAATTAAATTAATTTTTATTTAGAAATTAAAAAAAAAAACCTTAAACTTTTTAAAAATAAATTCCAATTATTAAATATTTTATTCCAAATTCTTTCTCCAAAATTCGAAATTTCTATCAAATCCAACATTTTATCAAATAAACATATTTTTGCACAAATATCATTATTTGTTAATTTAAATGCTAAAAATAAATAAATAAATAAAAATAAAATTAAAAAAACCTTTATCCAAAAAATCAAAACTTTTATTTAATTTGTTTAATTTTAAAAATTTATCAGCCATTTCTGAATAAATAAAACTTGCAAATTTTAAATTATTTTGATTAATAAATTGATTAGCTACATTTAAATAACATTGCTCCATCAAAAGTTGAAATTCATTTTCAGCTAAATTTGAAAATTTTTTTTAATATTTAAATTAAAATCCCATAGTAAATAGGAGGGTCTATTACAATCAGCTAGAATCTTCCTTCTTGGAGCTAATACCCATTAGTGTTAACTGACATGAGAAAAAACCAAAAACCTTTTAAACTCTTTTTTTAAAAAACCTGGACAATTTATTTCTTTTCTATCAAATGCCATATCAAAATATAACCGGCCAGCGTTCATCCAATGATCATTCGATTCAAATTGATTTCCCAAATTTAAATAAATTAAAGCAATTTCTTTATGGCACATAACTTTTTGTTCATTATTAGCCCCACTTTCTCTAAAATTAAATTTTAAAAATTAATTTTTAAATTAAAGTTAAACTCCATAGAACGAAGCAAACTTTTAAGTTTTCCAAGTATTTCTTCTAAATTTGGCTTTTTTAATGATTTCCTTCTTGTAGATAATTGAATTGAACGTAATCGATTAGTAAAATCCTGATATTTTGAATAATTTTCATTCATCCTTTTATAAAGTTTAAAAAATTAAAAAGTAATTAATTTTAAATAATTTATAGTAAAAAACAATTTTTTCAATTTTTAAAAATTAAACAAAAAAATTTATTTAAATAAAAAAACATTTTAATATCTAAATAACGAATTTTCTGCCAATTCTTTATCAATATCTGTAATTACTAAACTAACTGAAATTCTTTTTCTGTTATAACTTTTTATGTGCTCTAATTGTTTCTTTTTATAATCAGACTCTGCTCTAAATTTAAAAATTCAATAAATTTTAAAAAATTCCACTTACTGATCAATTGATGTGCTGATAAAATTAAAATCCCGAAGAATTAAAAATTCGCGTATATCACTGAAAAATAAATTTAAAAAATTATAGAAAATTAGTTCTAAAAATAAAATTAAAAAGGACAATCAAAAAAGGCCAAAAATAACTAAAAATTTGGATAGCCCAATTAAATTAAAAATACCTACTTTGTAAGCATTTGTACTTCATCCGTTGCTTTAACCATTAAAGATGCCCGAGCTAGCAACTCTTCCCTCATAGCATAATATTCACTTAATTGTCCAGTACTATTAGCTTTGTGTGAAGAATCATCATTTATCTAGAAATTTATTTTTTAAATTTAAAATTTAAAAAATACCTTAACTAAACACAAAATTCTGTCAAAATTTTCATTTAACGATTTTATATTATTTTTTAATCTATCTTTATATTCTTGTACAAGTAATTTTTTCGTAACAATTGTTTTGTTTGGTTGTTGATGTTCACTCTTTCTAGCATTTATATTGGGTTGTCTGCTTTGCATTTAAATTAATAAATTCGAAAACTTTGCCTTTAAAAAAGGAGAGAAATAAAAAAATTTTCTAAAAATATGTATCTAGATGGGTTATTACTTGTTTTTATAATATTTAAAAATTTCTTCAAAATCCATTTATTAAAAAAATAAATTAAAATTCAAACAATTGTTTAAAAAAAATAAATTTTCGTCGTTATTTTTTGTTTTATTAAATTTTCTGCAATCTTTTCTCAACAATTAAACTCATAACGGTAGCTACAAAAGCTTCTAAATGTATAATATCTTTACTTCCCAAACGAGTTGAATGTTCATATTCGGCAGCTGTTGAAACAATCAAAGGAAATATTGGCGAGGTATCCCGAATTTTTGATAATTCAAGAATTAAATGCTAAAAATAAAAAACAAAAATTATAAATTAAAAGTTAAAAATTAACCGTAAAAATAATTGAAGAAGGAATACAACGACAAAGTAATTCATAAAAACGATTACGAATATCCAATAAACTTTAAAAGAATTTTATTTTAAAAATTAAAAAAAATACATTTTAAAATACCCATTTTGAGTTGGAGTCTGAACAATTAATTTAGCTATATCTCGTATATAACCTTCCCATTCTGGTTCAACAATTGGCTGCTTGTCTAAATTGTGTCCACTACAAATAAAAAATATCAAAATAAGTTTAGAATTAATTTGACTAAAAAATTTTTAACTAAAAATATTTGTTTCTAATTTTCTAAAAAATCAGATAAAAATCCAATATAGTAGTTTAAAATATTACCATATTTTATAAAATTACAATCAAAAAAAAAAAACAAACTTTTGTGAAACACTGCATTCAAGTAAACAAAGAGCTCTACGCAAATTTCCATTAGATTTTTCAGCTAATTTTCGGAGCCATTCATTTGATGCTTGGACACGCTCCCGGGTACAAACATTCTCCACACACTCTAATAACTATAAAATAAAAAACTAATTTTATTAAATTTAAAAATAAAGTGGTGGCTACGCTCATTGGGGGGGGGGGGCAATCAAGTCTAGCTTGCTTGTAGATTTTGATACAGCAAGGAAGCCTAGTAATAACAAGTAAAAATCCTTTAATAATCCATCCCACTCCGCAAAAAATAAAAATCAAACTTCTTCATCAGAAGGTGCAGATACTCGAATAACCATACAACGACTTCTAAGTGGTTCAATTATTCTACTTGCGGATTCACAACAAAGAATAATTTTACAATTAGCGGCATATTTTTCCATAGTTCGTCTCAATGAATGTTGGGCTTCTTTAGTAAGATTTTCTGCTTCCAATAAAACAACAACTTTAAAATTAATTAAAAAAAATAATTTCTTTCAAAAAAAAACCTTTAAATGCCTTTTGTGAAGCTCTATTCAATTGTTGTACTTGTGCCATGTCTTTAATAATTTCTTGTACAATAACTCGATCGTAAACCCCAACATCACTAAAAAAATATTTTATTTTAAACAAAAAATTAAAGAAATACCTAGGTGTCAATTCAATATGATAATTACTGTTTACAACAAATATTTGCAATTTTTTGCCACTTGGAATTGAAAAATGATGTGTTTCGACATGAACATTTTCTACACCTTTCCCATAAATCTTTTTAAGTAAACAATTAATTCTTGTTCTCTTTCCTGCACCTGCTGGCCCGCAAAATAAAAGATGAGAAAAATCCCCGTCAGTTACAAGCGAAGATAATTTTTCTGATTGTTCTTTGTGAAAAGTAAGTTTTGACATTTCCCGTGGACGGTATTTGTCTATCCAAAGAGCCATTTTTTATTTTAATTTTAAGTAAGAAAAACTAAATTTACTTAAGCAAAATTAAAATTTAGAGAATTGTAAAAAGTTGCGCCAAAATGGTAAATTTAAAAAGGAAAATAGCAGAAAAGCGCACAAAGTATAAATTAAAGCGCGAAAATTGTAATGAGTAAGGTTAAACTCGGGGTTTTAATTTTTAAGGGATAATTGTGAAAAAAATCGTTCGGGAACAAGGCAACTCTAGTTAAAATAAAGTAAAAAACAAAAAATATAAATTATCACATTTTATTAAATATTAAAATTCACATTTATTAAGTAAATATAGAATTTTTGGTAAGCCTAATTGGAAAATATTTTTAAATTATAAAAATATACATATGTAAATGTTAGAATATCACTATTCTTTGTTAGTAAGAATTTAAGAGAATAAAAGGATTACAATTATGTAACAAAAATTTAAATAAAGATACAAAAGTTGGAAAATCTTTTCGTTAGTATATGGCATAGTGTATATATAGTAGGTATTTAATACAGTCACCCCTCTCATTATTGGACTCTCTAAAAGAATTAGGTACTTTAATTAAAATAATTTTTGTTAAAATAGGCTTTTGCTAGAATAAAGAGATGAGTTAATTATATTTTCTCCTATTTAGAGGTAATAGTAGAGAGTTGACTGTAATTTTGTAATTAAAAGAGAGATCATTAATTACCTAAATATTCTTCAAAAACATTTTGTGATTTTTAATTAATTAATTAAATTATTTCTTAAATAATTGCTAATATCATTAATTATTTCTTCTCTTTTTTTACTACAATACATATTAAATATTCCATGATAAGCATCTTTTTTTGAATAAATAAAATTTAATATTTTTATTTAATTAAATACCTTCATAATGTTTTAATTCAACCTTAACTTCATCTTCATTTAATCTTTTTGCATATTGAATACCTTCATCCCGAAGAACATCAATACCCGCAGTTAATATCATTGTTGGGCAATGATCTTTTAAATTATCAGCTAAAATAGGGCAAATATCTGGATTTTGAAGAAATTCTTCTATTTGGGTGTAAAGCTGGAAAAAGGAAAGATTTTTTTGGATTTATTATATGTGTATATCGAGGGGGTGTGTTGTTTCGCCTTTCATCTTTCTCCTCTTAAAATCTGTTTCGGCAACCCCTTGTACATATATTCAACAAATATCTCCTTTCTATTTAACCTGGACAAGGGTATCATTTAATATTTTAGATAATTTTTGTTCAAAAAATTAATTAACCTTTTCCCTTTCTGTATTTTCTTTCTCATTTTTTGCCTCTTTTATTATTCCATTAAATCCATTTTTTGTTGTTTTCCATTTAATAATTGAAGAATGGCTAGGATTTTTTCTATTTTCCTCTTCTTTTAAAAGAAATTCTTTAGGAAGCTTTTCTGGATCGAGAATTGAAGATAATTTAGCTTCATTAAGTAATTTAGGTGATAAATGTTGATTTTTAATCATTAAATTAATATTTTTTTGTGTTGGTTCTATACCCAAATAAAATAAATACCTAAAAATATTTTTTTGGGGAATTTTTAAAAATATTTTTTTAATTACCAACGGGCAAGCATTTTCGGATTTAATAAACCAGTCTTTGGATAAATACGGTAATATAATTGATAAGAAGGAGATTGGAAGTCTAACATGTGAATAACTGGATAGATAAGTATTTGGCACTAAAAATTGAATTTAAAGATTAATTTAAAAATGTGACAATTCCCATGAGAAAAAAATAAAATAATTTTGGGATTGGAATTAAATTTTTGTTCCAAAATTTTCAGCGCCTAGTCATTTAATCCCCCCCCCCTCCCCCCTCCCCCTCCCTTCCCCCTTTAAATCACTCACTTTTATCATTTCCTTTCTATTCATTCTCAAAACTCTTTGACACAAAACAGCACATTGACACCCTCCAGCAGAATCCCCCATTAAAGCTATTTTGTTTTTATCAATTCCAAGATCTTCAAATCTTTAAAAATAAAAAACAGGAAATATTCGTTGTTTTTTCCTTCTTTTCTTTTTACTTTTTATTATAAATTTCTTCAATTACTTGTTCACATTCCAAAAGAGCAACTGGAAATTTTACTTCGGGAGAAAGTGAATAATCAATAGAAATAATAGTTAATCCTAATTGTTTAATTAAAAGTAATAAAGCACCATCGTAAAATCCTAAAAAAAATAATTTTAAAAATTAAAAAAAGTCTGAGGAATACAAGGAAGTGGACTCTCTCCCTTCCCCCCCCCCCCCCCTCCCCCTTTCTCGAATAGAACAAGAATTGCTTTTGTCCTACTTTCCCCCCAAATCATAAAAAAGGAGACAATGATAAAACTAAGAAAACAGTCTCCCTCCCTCTCTGGGATTTATGGATACTGGAGGAGATTAATTCTGTAAATAATCAGAGAAAAATAGGAATATACATACACAAAACTTGCTTAAAAAATAAAATTTAAATTAAAATTATTTTACTTGGTCTTCCCATGCACCAACCACCTAAAATAATTTATAAAAATTTTTTATTTTTAAATACACACCTCCATGAATGAAAACAATTAAAGCATTATTTCTTTTAAATTCTCCTTGTGGAAGATAAACTAGAAATCTTTTTTTAAATTTAAATTATTTAAAACAAACATCGACATTTAATTCCAGCAATATACCCAACATTAATTAAACACCAATCTGGCACTCGTACAGGAAAAAAATAAAATGGAAGGGAAGAGAAAAAACGAGTAAATTTGTTTCGCATAATTGGACCAGAAAATAATTCAACTAAATCACCCTTTAAATAATTAATTTATTTTGAAAATATTTAAAAGATTATTTGCTCAAAAATGAAAAGTAACAAAAATTAATAAAAAATTAAAAATGTTTAAAACAAAGATAATTTAGAAAAATCTAAATCATTAAAAATATTTAAGAGGAGTTTAAAGGATACACTGGGGGGTGCAAAAGTTTATCTACACTTACCAAAAAATTTTAGAACGATATATGTATCTCGGGAACAATTTGTTTTCATGAGATGATTTTTTCGCTATTATTAAGCGGAATGTGCTCTTTCTAATGAGCTCTGCCTTAAAAATAAGCTCCAAAACTTTTTATGATATCCTCCTTTTTACCAAACTAATTTGTCTTTTGCAACCCAGTGTACATACAGTGGTGGAAAAAAGTATGGAAGCAAGAGCTTAAAAAGTAAACTTCGTTAAATTCCTCGACGTACGAACCCTAAATCATTTTTTGTCTACTATAAATTTTAAAGTCCTATCGATTACCTCTAAAATGAGTATAAATAGAAACCACTTTTATCGAGTATTTATCTTTTTATAATTGGCTAAAGTAAACAATGTAAATTTTGCGCGGAAAAAAGTATGGAAGCAAAAAAATTTTACGTTCTAAAACAAGTCGAAAAAATTTTAAAAATTTTTTATAAACATTTCCATTGATATTGAATGGAATTATAGAAAAAAAGAAGTCTGTACTTGCTTTCTTCATCGAGATCTCAAATCTCAAAAATCACTGGGAAATCGGGGTACAGTACTTTAAAAATTATTTTAGCTCCCTGAGACTTGTATAAAAAATTTCTTTTAGACCTATCTGAAAGCCCTTAAAATCTGCTACAAAATATGGTTGGTTTCATATTTGTACAAAAATTTGTCTAGGAGATAAGGAGGGACGAAATACTTAAAACTTAAAATAAGCATTTTATAGGGTATTTTGAGTGATTTCGGCTCATAATGAAATGTTTCCCTCCTTATCTCCTAGACAAATTTTTGTACAAACATGAAACCAACCATATTTTGTAGCAGATTTTAAGGGCTTTCAGATAGGTCTAAAAGAAATTTTTTATACAAGTCTCAGGGAGCTAAAATAATTTTTAAAGTACTGTACCCCGATTTCCCAGTGATTTTTGAGATTTGAGATCTCGATGAAGAAAGCAAGTACAGACTTCTTTTTTTCTATAATTCCATTCAATATCAATGGAAATGTTTATAAAAAATTTTTAAAATTTTTTCGACTTGTTTTAGAACGTAAAATTTTTTTGCTTCCATACTTTTTTCCGCGCAAAATTTACATTGTTTACTTTAGCCAATTATAAAAAGATAAATACTCGATAAAAGTGGTTTCTATTTATACTCATTTTAGAGGTAATCGATAGGACTTTAAAATTTATAGTAGACAAAAAATGATTTAGGGTTCGTACGTCGAGGAATTTAACGAAGTTTACTTTTTAAGCTCTTGCTTCCATACTTTTTTCCACCACTGTATATAAGGTGATCTTTGTTTTTTTTTCAAAAATTATTGTTAAAAATGAGAGAAAAGAAGCTGACATGAGAGAGAATTGGGAAAGGATACACTGGGGGGTGCAGTTAAGAAAACTACTGTAAGTATATTTATTAAAAACTAATTTCTTTACAAGATATTCATTAGAAATCCGCATTAGAAATTCAATAATCTGTATTTTCCATCTGTCAGCAATAAAATGGGGAAGTGGGCGGTGAAGGAAAAATAAAAATATTAAAATAAAAAATATTAAAATTAAATAAAAATAATTAGTTATCATTATATTATTTTTGTTGTTGGTAGAAATCCAAAAAATTAAAAAATTAAAAGTTTCCGTCAAAGTGCTGAGACGAATCTTTAAATTAAAATATGGCCATTATATTTTTGAAAAAGAAAATATTTAAAGAAATAAAAAAAGAGAGTGCAAATTTTACTTAATTTTGTATATAATCGAGAATTTATTTTAGTTTTTTAGGGGGGAGGGGGGGGGTGTATTTTACTTTTGTTGTTATCATTTAAACAAAAAAATTTTTTAATAATTTTAATTCAGTTGATAAGGGAAATAAACGGTTTTTATCAGCAATTAAAGTGCAAATTTAATTGAAAGAATTTATTTGACTAAAATAATTTAAAAGGGAAGAAATTAATTTAATTAATTTTAGTTTAAATTACCAAAATATTTTCAATAAAAGTTTCTTTTTGTTGTTTAGTTTCTCCATCTCCATTATTAGCCTCGGCTCCAGGGGAAGATAACAATTGTGCAATAAATTCCCCAACAAATTCTTTGTAAATCTGACCGGAAGTAGCCAATAAAGAATAATACATTTATTTAATTTAGAACATTTAATTATTTAAATACATATATTTTTTTGAAAGAGATTTAAGTAGTAGATGGATGGATCTCTTTAAAAAAATAAAAAGAAAAGGAGAATTTTACTCAAAATAATTGTCGAGATATTTATTTTTATCTATTTATTTCGATCCAAAAATATATTTATTTATTTATTCATTGTCAATGTCACTTTAAATTTCGCGCACCAATTGAGTATTTTTAAATTATAGAAATATTTTTTTAAAATTTAAATAATTTAAATTAATATACAGTTTTGGATTAAATTTAAAAAAATTTTTTCTTAATTTTATTTTAAATATTTAATTAAAAATATTTATTTAAATAAAAATACTCTAATTATTTTTTAGTAAATTAAAAATGCGCGAGAGAGGGGGAGATCGATCACATAAAAAGTAGACAAATATGTATTCTATTATATTTTTTGTTTATAAAATTCAAATAACCCTCAAATAAAAAAACTAGTTTATAAATATTTTTTTAAAAACTTTTTTCAATTCAAAATTTATTTAAAAAATATTTTTAATTACTTTAGACAATAAAAAAGTTTTAATTTAGTGAAAAATGCGCAATTTTTTTTTATTTACGTCAGAGCACTACATATAATTATGTCAAAAATGTTTTACGTAAATTAAAAGAAACCTTTAATTAAATAAAAGAAAAACTTGAATTTATTTTTTATAAAATAATTTTATTTTTAAATATAAAAAAATAAAAAATATAAAAATATATTTAATTAATCACAAATAATTTTTAACGATATATTTTGATGATTTCATTAATTGAAGCAGGAAGTGAAGTAACTGGACAACGACCGTTTAATTTTATCTAAATTGAAAAAAAATATAATATATATAAAATTTTCAAACAAAATTTAATTAAAATAATTTTATTTCCTCTAATTAATTATCCCCATCCCTCTCCCTCTTTCAAAAAAAACCAACAAATTTATAAATGCAGGAATAACAAAAGATATATCCAGAAATACTCAAAACAGCCTCCTCATTCCGAATTTGTCCACAAATAGGGCATTTTCCGGCACGGCAAAGGGATTGTTGATTAACAGGTAATTTCTTTAAATAATAAAAATTAAAATCAAATAATTATTCTCTACATACATTTATTGGGAATTCCTCAAAATTAATTAATTTATTATTTCCATTAATTAATTTATTTAAAATAATTCCAAATTCATCTTTATAACAAATTTCAAGAAATTGAATTAAAAAAAGTGACAAAGAAAGAATTCGGCCAATTGTAGAAGGTAACCAAAATAAAAGTTGCAAACAGCGAGACAAAAAACTTAAAAAAAATTTTTATTTTTAAATGCAATTTAAAAATGTAAAATTGTAAATAAAGAAAAAATAATTTTGGTACTAATATTCTTCTATCACACCCCCCCCCCCTCCCCCATTTTATTTTTCTGCTTCCTTCCTTTTCTTCAAAGAAAGTAGATAAACTAACATACAGGCTGGCGCAAAAGTATATGGCCAATGGCCAAATCCTTAATCCCCTTAACTTTCTAAAAGGAGTAGTACCGTAATTTTTTAACTTTAAAAATAAAAAACTTGCCTATTAAATTTATTTTTTCTTCCTTTATTTAATTCAATTTTAGCAAAATCATCACAATTTAACATTTCTAAACGAGTACCAGAAATTAATAAAAGCCATGAGGGAAATTTAATAAAAGAGAATGTGTAGCCAATTTGAAATAAAATAATGGCAAAATAATTAAAAGTTCTCAAAAAAGGAAATAAACGTAAAAGAAGTAAACGCCAACCAAAAATATTTTTTGAATTAGAAAACTAAAAATAATTTAAAATTTTAAATTAAAAACAAACATTTATTTTTAAATGTTCATATATTTTTGTTAATCTTTCTCCAATAAAAGGTAAAATAACCTAAAATAAAAAATATTATTTTCAAAATTAAAAAGGAATTACCAAAGTAATTAAAGAACGAATTTTTTGACTAAAAGAAAGTAAAGGGTTTGAATTATTAATTGGCACTCTTTTCATTCCATAAAAATTTTCAGAAAAAGAACCAGCTTTAATTTAAAAAATATTTTTTAAAAAATATTTAAATTAACAAGATTTTTGCAAATAATGAAATTCAATTGGAGATTGGAATAAAAGAAAAATTAAATCAAAATGTTTTTCCAAAAAACGAAATAATGCTGTTGTAGGGAATTTATTGGAGAATAACTAAAAATTAAATGTCGATTTCAGAAAACAATTTTCTTAAAAACTCCCTTAATTCCAGCTAAAATTCCAGGTTTTAATTGAGCCCTCAGCGAATCTTGAGCCAAGTAATCAAAGATTGAAGGCAAAGAAACATTTTCACTGAATTGCCTATTTGTTGATAATACTGTAATTGTTGCAGTATTAGTCATTGTTCTAAAAAAAGAATTTTTTTAAAAGAATTTGAATAAAAGATAAAAAGATAGTTTAAAAATAATTATTTAAAATAAATATAAACAAAAAACAATTTTTATTATTTAAATCTTCAGTACACGTATAATTTAATTTTTAAATATATTTATAATTATATATCTTCCATATCAACATCCATTTCCATCATTTCTTTATCTTCATTTCCATTCATTTGTTCCTGACCTTCCATTTTTGATTTTTTAATTTGAAATTTTTTTGTTTTTTCGTTGCGCAGATCTTTTAAATTTTGTAATTGAAAAAGTTTTTGCATACAATTGGGATCTTTTGAATGTTTAAGCACAGAAATTGCATATCTGAAAGAGAAAATTAAATTTAAAAAATGAAGAATTTCGACTATATCCTAATACAAAATAATTTATCTGGCTACGTTCTTATAATAAAGAAAAAATATTTTTATAGAACACGTATAAACTTATTCAAATAATTTTTTTCCAATTAAAAAAACGAACGTTAATTTCCAACGCATTTTAGCCAAACTTGCTTTGCCTACATTTGCTGCCACATTGTGAGAAAGCTCTAAAGGATCTTGTATGTTAACAAGAGAAAAACGCCATCGTTTTTCAATTTCCGGTGATTTATCCAAAAATTCTTTTTTAAAATCATTAACTTTAATAATTTTGCCTTCTTGAAGTAACAAAACTAAATCAGATTTTAAATTCAAAAATAAAAATGTGAAGAGGTCCTGTAGAGAAAAGAAGGAAAATTTAGTTTTTAATTATCTTATCCTGTTTTTAAAATAAGAAAAGTATTTTTCTTTTTGTCAAAAATTTCTTAAGTTTGAACTTTGTCACTCCGCTATGTTAATAATTATATTTTTTACCTTCAAAAGTAACGGGAATTCGTCTTTTTCAATTGTAAATTTAGGTATAGAATATTCAACTGTCCATCCATTAATTTTACGCGAATTTGGATTCAAAAATTTAAAAATTGGAGGTATTCGATTAATTTTCTGTAAAAATCCAATTGTACATAAAGAAAGTGTATAAGAATTCCAAAATGATTTTGGCCCATCAGAATCGTTGTCAGATGTAAAAAGTTCATTAGAAGATGCCCATAACTTTAGGAAAAATAATAAACGGAAGAGAATACCTTTAAAATAAATTTAAAAATTTATTCTTTAAAATAAAATACCTGAAGTTTCAGCCTTAACTAAATCCCTAATTAAATTTGCTTTAAATTCTCCAGACAAATTTTGAATGGAAATTTCACAAGGAATTTTGACTTGATTTAAACAAATTGTTAAAAATAATATAGGAGTACGTGCATCTTTAACAGGAACATGTGAAATTATAATTGAACTTTCTTTTCGTAGAGAATTAATTAAAGTATTTAAAATTCGAATTTGATCTTTGAAAAAAAAAAGATTTTTGAAAAATAATTTATTTATTTACTTGTTTTTGTTAAATTTAAAAATGCTTTTGCATCCATAGGAGATTTTAGTAATTCTTGTGGTGTAAATTCACCAATATCTATTTTCATATCATTTGAAGTTGTTGAAGTAGATGGAGATGAACAACCATTTTTATTAATTTCAACATTATCAAGAATAAAATTTAAATCCTAAAATAATTAAAAATAATTTTAATAATTGCAATCATGTCTTTAAAATTCATGGTTTCTTTCCAAAAATTAAATAATTATTTCTATTTATTTACCAAATCAGAATCGATAAATCCAAGACCAGTTAAAGACGAACCAAACAATCTAATAGAAATAGGAGAAGAAAAATATCGTTGAAAGTGATTTTGCAATTTTATAGCAAATGTTAAACGTTCATTAATCTGTTGAAAAAAAATAAATTTAATTAAAAAAATATTAAACCAAATCATTTGATAAAGCAAATTTTTGAATTAGACCATCCAATTGAGCCGAAAATTCAGACGGACAATCTTCAAGAAATTTAAGTACATTCCCTGAATTTGTAATGGAAATGGATTTTTGCTTAATTGTTGAATTGTTAAAATCTACACGTCTTGGTCGAATACGCACCATACTCTTAAAGAAATATTTAGACATTTAAAATTTGTTAAAAAATAATTCTAAAAAATTACTTTTCCAATTTTTATTCGTTGGATAGCTCCCAAAAGATTCTTAGCAGCCTCTTCTTCTTTAAATTCAATAATTGCATAAGCATTTTTACCTGATTTGTCAATTAAAACTCTATCAACTTCACCAAACTGATCAAATATTTGAAGCAACAGTTCCTCTTTTATTTCCTAAAAATAAAATAAATTTTAATTAATTTTTAAGAAAAAAATAGACTTCTTTAAAATTATTTAAATGAACAGAACGATTTGCTAATATCTCTAATTTTCTATTTTTATCAACCATTTGTTTGTGTTTAAATCCATTAACATGATCATCCCAAAATTTTTGACTAAAAACTTTTAAATTACAAACGTCACAAAAGAAGGTTTGCTCCATCAAAAAAAAATAAATTAGAAAAATAATTTTAAAGTAAAAAAATATTTAAATTTTTAATAAAAATATTTAAATAATTAATTTCTAAAAATTAAATTTCTAGGCAAATAAACAAAAAAACCTATTAACATGTTTATTTAAATGTTTTATCATTTTTATTTTCTTTGTGTTTTTGTTTCTCTTCTAGTAATTGTTCTTCCTTCCATTTTAAATAACGCTCAAATACACGATAATTCTCGTCCTAAAATTAAAGATTTTTTTTAAAAAAATATTTAAAAATACATACAAGACCCGTTTTTCTGAATTCACTCCGATCTTTTATAAATTCATCAGTGACCTCCTTTCGGAGATTGGGGTCCCGAAATCTTAATAGAAAAATTAAGAAAAAAATTAAAAAATATTAAACTTACTTTTCCACCTTACAATCTTGAAATTTTTTATAAAAAGGTCTGCAGTTATGCGTCCCAGTTATTGCTCCTCCATCTCGCATACATTCAGCAAATTTCATAAAAGTCTCCCGACATTCAGTCTTCTCAATCCTTTTAGCAAGTATGTCTGGAATCAACACATTTGATTCATATTTTCGTAAAAATCTAAAAAAACTCAAAATTCGAATAGTTATTTGACATGGAATTTCAATGAAAAAAAACTTACGTGTCATCTGGATCACCTAATAAATTAAAAAAGAGTAATCAAGGAATATTATTTAAAAAAGTTTTGAAAATTAATTAACCTAAATTATGCGGCCCAACAGTAACATGTGTTGGATACATTGTCTTCTTAACTCTATACCACTTTTTACGTCTCTCGTCATAGACGATTTCACCTAAAAATTAATATAAAATGAAATAAAATTAAAGAAAAATTAACCTTCCTTTCGTTCGCGTATTGAATCGTGAGAATCAGTAAGTGTATTTATAACAAATGGATGTTTTGCTTCGTATTCAGATTGAATATCTTGTTGTTGCATTATTAAAATAAATCTAAAAAATATATTTAATTAAAAATTTTCTAAAAAAGTGTGCAATTGTCCACAAGTGGAATTGCTCACTGTTCAATTGTGTTTTCAATTGTCTCACTGTTCAATTGTCCCACGCCAGCTGGCCAGACTTGACGTTAAATAAAATTCTAAAACTTTTTATTTTTGATTTGGTGGATATGGTATCGTGTTATCTCGCCAAAAGCTTGACTCGCCAAAGCTTGACTCGCCAAAAGCTTGTTTCGCCAAACCCCCAAAAGCTGTTGACTCGCCAAACCGTGGAAAAAAGCTTGTTTTGCCAAACCCCCAAAAGCTGTTGAATTGCCAAACAGTGGAAAAAAGCTTGTTTTGCCAAATAAATACCAAAACTTATTATTATTCAATTTGTTAATAAAACTGTGGAATTTTTTATTATTTACCTCGCGGCAGAATAACCTGTTGCTTTTAGCCTGTTGGTTTTTAGTCTTCGCTGGAAAAACTGTTTTTGTGCCAAGCTGATTTTTGGGTTCAAAAATTCGATTATACAGATGATACCTCATTCGAAAGTGCTCGACAAGCTGAGTCGAATGACACCAAAATCAGCTCGGTTGGATGATTCTGAACCGAATTATAACCAACTGAATCTTCGCTGGAAAAACTGTTTTTGTGCTGCTACGGAGGGTAGGCCGGGCATGGTCTTCGCTACACGATGGCCGTGCTTCGCTGCGGTCGTGCTCGCTTCGCTCGCGGCGACCGTAGCGAAGCGGCGGCCGTCGTTCCGCTCGACATGCCCGGCTTCCTCCGCAGCGCAAAAACTTTTTTCCGCGTAGGCATTGTTAGAAGTTTCCACACTTTGGTATTATGAAGGATTTTGGAGGAGGATTATATTATACACAAAGAGGAGTTTTATAAAATTTCTCCACGGTTTGGCAATTCAACAGCCTTTGGGGGTTTGGCAAAACAAGCTTTTTTCCACGGTTTGGCGAGTCAACAGCTTTTGGGGGTTTGGCGAAACAAGTTTTTTTCCACGGTTTGGCGAGTCAACAGCTTTTGGGGGTTTGGCAAGACAAGCTTTTGGCGAGATAAAACGTGCCGGGTGGATATTGTCTTTAATTACTGTAAATTTTTTTTATTAATGTGGGTTCTGAAAAAAAGCTACAAAACTTTTTAGTTTTAAGCTTACTATTTTCTTTAATCCATTGCTTTTATAAGAAGTCTTGTTTATCAAATAAATAAACTCATTATGATGCCAACTTCTGATTCAGTCCCAAAGTGTTCCATAGAATCTTCCAGTGACAACATATCGCCCGAGGAACGACCTGAATCTTTAAAACTTAATTCTGCACCCTTTGATTGCTGTCATCTTGCACCCCCAACTTCCCTTCTTGGACGAACGTTGTCGGCTTCTGCAATTGATTATCGTGGTGCTTGGCGTAGTAAAAACAAAACACATTTGGACGGAACCAAAAATTTTCAGGTTTTTAATTTTTTTATTTTTTATATTTAAATTAAATTTTTTAGGAACGTTTAATTTCTTCGCCAGCCTCTTCGACTTCTTGTGTTCAACAATCCTTGAAACGCAAATTAAGTAATTCGAGTGTCATAACAGGTTTTGATCTTCCTGAAATCAATGTCGGTGGTGAAAATGCTAAAATGTTCTTACCACATCATACAATATTAAATCAGGAAGGATTTGTTACTCCATTCCAACCAAAAAAGGTTTATAAACTAATAGTTTTACTTTATTTTATTATTTAGATAAGTCGTCCGAGTTCGCCTGCCGCTACTATTGTTGCTACGTCACGGATGCCAATGCTTACACGAGGTAGAGTTGCATCAATTCGACGGGAATCAGATTGTAGCACTGAAAATGAGGCTGCCCACGAGAAGTTGATCAAAACTTCGCAGCAAGTCTCTCTTGGCTTTGAGGATTTTTGTCTGGTATTTTTTTAGATTTTATAGTATTATTAGCAATTATCTTTTATTTATAGGATGACAAACTATTTGAAGAACGTAAACGGGCCAAATCTTTGACTGAGCCCATTTCAGTTTTCACGAACGCTTTTCTTCCGCAAAGTTCAACTCCTTCACCAACTCGAAATGTTGTTGACTCATTGCAAAAAGTTTTTATGATTTTTCATTCAAAATTTATTTATTTTTAAATTAGCAATGCTATTCTCCATCAACTCAACAGGTTGTTCGAGCGAATATTTCTTATTCGCCCATTCCGAGTCCAACAACTCCTGCCAGTCCTTATAATCGAATGAGGTTTATTTTAGCCTGATAATTTTTAATAATTTATTATTTTTTAGAAGCATGTCACCTATTGCTGTTCGTCAGGTTTCTAAAAGGCGTTATACAGCATCCAGTGGGAATGGATTTGGAAATCAAAGTTCTGGCTCTGGTTTGGATAGTGACGGGGAAAACAGGTAAATATGCTGTTTTAATTATTAACATTCTTATTTTTTAGTTCCTTTGTACCTTCTAATTCTAAACGTCGCTGTACTGCTTTATTGCGATCGGCGATCAGTTCATCATCTTCGCCTCTTGTTCGAGAATCCACTTCAAATGTTAATTTACTTTATTATCAACAGCAACAACTAGAGCGGCTTTCAAGCAATTTTGATAAAGATTCAAAGCCTGTTTTAGAAGTGGCCGTCTCATCTTCGATTGATTCAAATACTACTGATGTTGTAAAATCTTCATCTACAGCAGAATCAACTACTCCACTTTCCCGCTTATTAGTTGACCCACAAATTGCAATTGAATGGTTTTATTTTTAAAAAACTAAAATTATTTTTATTTTACATTTATTAGTTTTCAATCATCTTCTGCTGTATCTCGTGAAGATGAGGATTCCTCACCAATTGCTGAATCGGTACTTTGCTCTTCATTTTGTTCTGGGGCTGGTTATGATGCGAATTCATCCACAACTTTTTCGTCAAGAGCAAATACACCACATTCTGAAATGCTTGAAAGCTCAGGAGTAGAAAATGTTTTTTCTTATCAATATTTTTCTAATTTAAATAAATTTAGGATGCTTCCCTTTCTCTGTTGCTTCCACCGCAATCGTCTTGCTCCTCGGATTGTTCATCCCAGCATTCTATATCTGCTGTTGCCACTAATCAAAAGAATCTGCTACCAACCACAGTCAACTTATCTTCATCTAATGAAGAGCAGATCGGCAACGAAAAATAATTATTAAAGTAAATTCTATCTTTTATCTATCGTTTATTTATGTCTTCAATACCACAATTTATATGTGTAGTAAGTCCAACTTTTTCTTTTTCCATCTTTTACAGTTTGCTCTAATACCTTTTCATTTCATATTGTGTTTTTCTAATTTTAACGTTCGGGTGACTAAGGACCCAATTATTGTGATTTTTTAAATCAAAACTCATGTAATTTAATGGGAATATTTTTTTATTTAAAAACGGTTTTTCTTTATTTCTTTAAAACTTTTGTATGTTATATTTTTATTTTGACTTTATACAATTTATGTTTATTTAAATAAAATCTCTATTTAAAATTTTGTTTAATAAGATTTGTCTTTATTTTGCTATTAGCAAACATCATTATGTGCTTTAATTTTTTGTATTAAATTTTTACTAATAAATTAAAAATTAAATTTTTAGATGACAAAATCTTTGGATATATCAAAAATATTTTTTAGTTTCTATATATTTTTTGGATGCAAACTTTCTAAGGTTATGATGCAACCACAACCTTTAGATCCAGCAATTGCTTTAGGAAAGGCTCCGAAGGCGCATGAACCTGTTTGATTTTTTAATATAAAATTTAGCTGTTTTTTCATATTTATAGGTTGTTATTGTTGGTGGTGGATTGGCTGGAATTTCTGCAGCATTGGAGTTGGTTATTTTTATACGAATTTTTTATTTCTATAATGTTTGGATAATGTTTTTACAGAGCACTTAGGTTTGGTGCTAGTGTCGTTCTTGTTGATAAAGAGGCTGACCTTGGCGGAAATAGTGCAAAAGCTAGTAGTGGTAAGTTTAATGTCTAAACATCTATTCTTTATTACGTCTTTACTTTTTTAAAATATTTGTTAGGAATCAACGGGTGTGATACTCCAATACAAGAGAAAATGGGAATTAAAGATTCTCAATTGCTATTTTACTCTGATACTTTGGCAGCTGGAGACAGAGAAAATGATCCTGTTTTAGTGGATATTTTGGTTCGAATTTTAAAATTTTAATATTTTTTACAATTTTATTAAAAGGTTCACAATTCTGCTCAATCTGTTCAATTTCTCATTGATAATGGTGTTAATCTTTCGGATGTTAATCTCTGTGGCGGTCATTCTGTGCCACGAACACATTGGTAATTTTTAGTGATACATAATATCTTTTACTCAATTTTCCAATTGCTTTCTTTCAGGTTATTATCACCCAAAGAGGGTAGACCTTTGCCAGTTGGTGTTGCAATAATTCGGGCATTAAAGGCAAAACTTGAGGAATGGCGTCATCCGGAAAAGTTTAATGAGAAAGAACCCCGTTTAAAAATTAAATTAAATCGGCGAGTTCTTGGTTTGGTTACTTGGAATGATTTTGTGACAGGTGTTAGAGTTCTTGGTGACAATGGACAAATAGGCAAATTATTTTTAAATTAATAACTACTAGGATTTCTATTAATTTACTTGAATAATAGAATAAAAATTTTGATAGAAGAAATCGCCGGAAAAGCTGTAATCTTAACCACTGGGGGATTTAGCGCTGATCGAGAGAAGGATAAGACATCTTTACTTTTGGAATTTGCTCCTTCACTTCTGTCATACCCTACAACGAATGGAAGGTTTGCTACTGGCGATGGAGTCAAAATGGCACGGGCTATGGGTGCTGGGCTTGTTGGAATGGATAAAATACAGGTTGGGGATTGAAATGATTTAGAAATCTTAAATGAGGAATAATTTTATTTCCAGGTTCACCCAACTGCATTCATTGATTCCAAAGATCCTGGGGCTACAACCAAATTTTTAGCTGCAGAAGCTTTACGTGGCAAAGGCGCAATACTTGTAGGAATATTTTTGTTTTGTTTTTAATTTTTATTTAGATTAATCATGAAGGAAAACGGTTCGGAAATGAGTTGGGACGGAGAGATGAACTTACAAAACTTATCATTCAAGTGAGGGAATTTTAAACTAACAATAAGTATTAATTCATAAAAAACATTTTCTTTTAATATTTTTATAAGAAGCTTTGGATAATTTTTTTCAATTTTTAGCATTGTGTTCGTCAAAAGGAAGCAGGTGATATGCCGATCGCTTGGATGTTGATGAATAAAGAATCTGCCGAATCTTTTGGAATGCCTGCTTTTAATTTTTATTTTAAAGTATTTTTAATTAAATGTTTTTCTTTAAAAAATATTTAAAATTAAGATTAAAGGCTTTTTCAAAGAATTACCAAATATTAACAGTCTTGCTACTGAACTTAATGCTTCTGAAGATGATTTAATTCAAACAATTAATGATTACAATAATTATGCAGAAAAGCGAAATATTGATAAAAACTTTAAAGACCCTTTTGGAAAAAGTTGGAAAATATAAATATTTTAATATTTATTTTTAATTTTTAGGTGTTTTTCCTGTTAAATTTAACACAAATGAATCTTTCTTTGTGGCGAGAATAGCACCGTTAGTTTTTTAAGGAATTTAGTGTAAATTATTTATTTTTCAGTGCAATTCACTACACTATGGGTGGATTACAAATTGACAAAAATGTTTATTTTACAAAATACAAAAATAATTTTTTTTATTTTTAGGCTTTTGTGTTTAGTGAATTTTTGTCAAAACCATTCCAAGGTCTTTTGGCTGCTGGTGAAGTTACTGGGGGTGTACATGGTGCTAATCGTTTGGCTGGAAATTCTCTTCTTGAATGCGTTGTTTTTGGTCGGATTGCAGGAAAATCTGCTGCTGCTATAGATTATCAAGTTGTTTTTTTAATTTTAAAATAAAAGTACTGATCCGATAAAGTCCTGATAGTTAATTAATAATATTTTTAATTAAGTCTGCTCTTTTGGGCAAAACTAGTTCTGGAATAGGTGCAGATGCACAGACAAACGAAGAAAGGCAAGAACTTTGACATTAAAAAGTATAATATTTATTTGTTAATTTATTAAAAATTGTATATTTTTCAAAAATATTTTTAGTAAAAATTTGCTTAAAATATTATTTTAAGAAAAAGTTTGTGTAAATATTTAAAAGTATTTTTTATAAGGAATAGGGAAATGAAAGAGGTATTTTTATTTTTTCTTAATCCTGCCGATTTAAGGATAAACAAAAACTTTAATGATTCACTTTTTTAATAAAAATAAAATTTTATTTGGTAAAAGAAAGTATATTTTTATTTAACTAAATGTAAAATGCCTTCTCATCAATTTATTGCCCAAAGTTTTTATTCAGCAGTAATGGCAGCAACTTTGCTTTTTACACTTATTTCAATGTTAACTCCCGGTATTTCAATTAAAAAAATTAAAAAAAAATTTTTTATTAATTTATTAGGTTGGCATTCAATAATTAAAGGAAATCAAATTGGAGAATATGATAATTCAAAAACGATTAATTCTGGTATTTTTATTTGTGAGACAGAAGGAATGTCTGAATGTATGGCGGTAAATAATAAATTAATTATTTTAAATTTTATTATAAAATTTTGACAGAAACGAAGCACTGTAGATACTTTAATTGGTGTTTTCTTAATTATGGCTGTTTTACTTGAATTAATTGCTTTGGGATGGGCAATTGCTTCTTTTATTTTTGCTGATAAAGGGGAAGGGGCATCGAAAAGAAAATTAATTTTATTTGCTCCTTTACTTGTCTTCTCTTTTTTAATTTGTGGATTATTTTTACTTATTATTCTTTTGTTTTCGCTTAAACAAAATGGACAAATTGGATTTGGTAAATTTTTTTTGAAAACTAACAAAGGAACATTTCGAACTTTCACCAAAAATTTTATACTACTTTTTTGCACCATCTGTTGTCCAATAAATAAATCGACCCTGCTCTACACGATGGGCAAAAATATACTGAATTTTCGGTATTCTAGATGTTCTTTTATAAGCTTAACGCTTTAAAATATGTCTAAATATTGGCTGTCAAAGGAAATAACTTCCATTTCTAATTTATATTCCCTTTAAATCCCAGTTGCAATTTTATTTTTCTAAAATAAAGTTAATATTCATGAGAGGGAGGGGGGTCCTTAACATTTATTATCTAGGCTTAAATTCAAATTTTCAAATATTTTCAGATTTAAATATGAGCGTTGCAATGGGAGCAAATGTTGGATATTCTTTTTTTATTTGCTGTTTTGCATTTATATTAGCAATTTGTTCTGTACCTGCGGGATTGTTTTTAACATTCTTAAAAGAAAATACTTGAATGGAGAAATAATAAAATAATTATTTTAACTTTCTTATTACAATATTTTACATTTTTTCAATTATTTTTTAAATAAATTTAAATAAAATATTTTTTTTATAAATTATTAAGTTGTTTATTTACAACATAAAAATATTTTTTCAATTAATGTTAAATTATACTAAAATTGTAACAAAACAAGTGTCTGCTGGTTTTTTTTCCTTATCTCATTTTCCTTGATACATTTGTTTATTTGTTTAACAAAATTACAGAGTATATTTATTGACTTTTTTTTGAATTAATTTTTATCCAAATCATTTCTTATTTTTTAAATGCCATTCTTTAATTTTTATTGTTAGGAGGTACAGTATTTTAATTATACTTTAGATTTCCTCCAATAAAAATATTTTGAATGGGCACACAAGGCTATGAGAATTATACACGTTCTTCATCAACTTCCTCTGACATGCCAGAAATGGAATCGGTCATTGGATTGGGAGAAACAGAAAATGAGCGGACATTAAGGATTATCAATTCTCGTCGAAAACCTGTTAATTTTTTTCTTTTTTTTAAATATTTTTTTCTAAAAATTTAAAGGTTTCTTTATGCAGTGTTGCCCCTTCTCTTGTAATTTCTTGGCATTCAATTACAGCAAAGCCTCGACTCGAAAAAAGCATTTTCCCTTCATTTGTCTCCAATATTTATTCAAAATTTTCTTCAAGTTTTGATGATATTGAAAGTGGAACACCTCCAATATTATATGGGAAAAAATTAATTTTAAATAATGGTTAGTATTTTTTAATTAAATTTACAAATATATTTTGTTTAAAATAGTTTTTGGTGTTGCTTATCCTGGAGAAGTTCTTGCCTTAATGGGAGCTAGGTAAGTTTTTTTAAATGTTTGGGGTTTGAACTTTTTGTTTTTTAGTGGTGCTGGTAAAACTTCTCTTTTAAATATCTTAACTCAACGAAATCTTTCTTCTCTTCGTGTTTCTGGCCAAATACGCATAAATGGTGTAGATGTTGGGAAAAATGTTTTACGTAAAATTTCTGCTTATGTACAACAAGAAGACCTTTTTATTGGTTCCATGACTGTTATTGAACATTTGAGATTTATGGTTATTTTTTTAGAAAAATATTTTTATTAAAAATTTTCTAAAAAGGCTATAATGAGAATGGGAAGACATTATTCTGCAAGAGAACGTGAACGGCGGGTACAGGGGGTTATTGCAGAGCTTGGACTTAAAAAATGTGCAAATACACTTATTGGTTGGCCTAATAGATTGAAAGGGTTATCTGGGGGAGAAAGGAAACGGTTGGCTTTTGCTTCAGAGGTAAGTAAAATTTTTTTAAGAAACACATAACTTTTCTAAGAAATCTCTATTTTCAAGAAATCTCTATTTATCTTTACCCTCCATGATTTTTATTGGAAAAAAAATTGACGAATTAAATCCTTCAACCATTTCTATAAAATTTCTATTAAGATAATGACGGGACCTCCAATTTTATTTTGCGATGAGCCAACATCTGGTTTAGACTCTTATTTAGCTAAACAAGTCATTCAAGTGCTTAAAGATTTGGCAAGACGGAAAAACATGACAATAAGTCTTTTAAAAACAAAAATATTTCTTTTAACTAAAAACTCTTTTAAAAGTTGTTACAATTCACCAACCAAGTTCACAATTATTTGAAATGTTTGATAAAATATGTCTTTTGGCCGAAGGTAAATTAGCATTTCTTGGAACAACTGCTGAGGCTATTCCTTTCTTTGAAAGGTTTTTTTAAATATAAATTTTATTTAAAATAATTAAAGTTTGGGGCATACTCTTCCTGACAATTTTAATCCTGCTGACTTTTTTATTGGAGTTCTAGCTGATGCCGCTAAAGCAAAACGATCTAGAGGAAGAATACATTCAAAAGTCAATGTTTGTAGTTATTTTTTATTTTTAAATTTTCTTTTTCGTTCACTCATTCTCTCCCTAGTAACTGTAAATATAAATCTCCATTAAGGCTTCATTATGTCTTTTCACCAATTAAAATATTTTTTTCGATTTCTACAGGGTTTCTTTCCACCATCTGATTAAAATTTATTAATTAAAGAGAATTAGTTCAAAAATTCTTATTTTTAAGAAAATTTTAATTTAAGAAAATTTGTTCATCATTTACTCAGAGTGATACAGGAAAACAATTAATGCACGAATTATCAAGTAATACTAGCAGTGAAGGTTCTTCTCCCCCAATAAATACAGAAATAATTAAAGAAAATAATTTAAATGGAAATAATGAGGTTTTACAAACTTTTGATATTTCTACAGACGAAAGTGCTTTTTCTACACCAGAATCTGTTGAAGAAGTAATGGAAGATGATGAAGAAAGAAATGAAGGGGTTCCTTTATTTGTAACAACATCGAAAACAGACAAATTAGAATCGTATACAAAATCGAAGACAATGCAAAGATATAAATCAACGTTAGGAACTTTTTAATATTTTTGGGGAGTTTTTGAAAATGAAATAATGAAATTCTTTTGGTAGTGGGCAAGGCTGTATCACGGATAGCTGAAGGGGCTATAGCCCCCTGCCTAAAATGGGGAAAAGGGAAAAATATTTGGAGAAGGATGATCGACAAAGTGAAATTTGACAATGCAAAGATACACCCTTGGTAGTGGGTAGTTTTAGAGGGATTAACTTCTTTGTTAAAGGAGGGGGGAGGGGGATGAAGAAGCTTTTTTGAAATTTTTAATGAAAGCGGAGGAAAAACTTTACATCTACTTATTTTTGGGGATATTTAAAAATAATTTTATTTTTTAATTTTTAGTTGGTTCCAACAATTTCGAGCACTTCTTAGACGCTCATTTTTTGTTACTTTACGTGAACCTATGCTTTTAAAAGTTAAATTATTCCAAACTTTATTGATAAGCATAATTCTCGGAACAATTTATTTTCAAACGCCAATACGGCAAACAACAGTTATGAATATTAATGGATTAATTTTCCAATCAATTGCAAATATGAATTTTATGTAAATTAAATAAATAAATATTTAGTAAATTTATTTTTTAATTTTCTTTAAAAGGTTTCAATTTGCTGCTGTTCATGTTTGTTTTTTAAAGTTTTATAATAATCTCAGAATAATTGTGAAAGAATATTTTTATTTTTAATTAACGTGGGTATAGCATAGGAGTTTATAAAATATTTAAAAAAAAGAAAATATTTTAATTTTTTTCTGAAAAATTTTGGGGAATAATAAAATAATTTTTGTATAAATTCTTTTTTATTTAAAAGATTTTCTGTGATGAACTGCCTATTTTTATGCGTGAACATTTATCAAGTTTATATAGAGTGGATACTTATTTTATTGCAAAAAATATTGCTGAGTTAATTCAATATATTATTTATCCTTTTGTTTTTTCTTCAATTGTTTATTGGATGTCTGGTAAATTATTTTTAAAAGTTTAATAATTTTTTTTTTCTTTTTAAAAAAAGGTTTTGTTCACAATTCCTTAGCTTATGCCTCTTTTGTTGCCAGCTGTGTTTGTGTTACAAATGTGGCTATTTCACTTTCTTATGCGGCTTCTTGTATTTTTGGGACAACTGATTTAGCTTTAGCAATGCTTCCTGTAGTTGTTATTCCTTTACTTGCCTTTGGGGGGTTTTATATTAATCAAGTAAATTTTTAGAGAATTTAAAAAAAATATTTTATTTTTGTAGCAATCTTTGCCTTCTTATTTTTATCCAATTAAATTTATTTCTTATTTTGGTTATGCATATGAAAGTGCTGCAATAAGTCAATGGACACGTGTAAACACAATATCTGGTATTTATAATTTTATTTTAAATTTTAATTTAATTAAAGTGATTATTTTAAATAATTAAAACCCCTTTTTAACAAATATTTTTAAATAAAATTCTAATTTTTTAAAAGGTTGTAATCAAACAACAATAAATAATAATAATCTGACAGAATATAATACTTGTTATTTGGATGGAATGGATGTACTTGACTCTTTGGGATTTGATCCAGAAAATATTATTTTTGACTATACAGCTTTAATTTCAATGATTTTGGGTATTTTAGTTAAATAAAAAGGAAATTCTTTTTAATTAAAAGGACTTCGACTTGTTGCATTTTTTGCACTTTGGTTGCGAGCTGTTACAAAGAAATGAAAGACTATTTAATTAATTTTTAAATTTTAATAATATTTTTTTCTCTTTTTTTATTTTAAATATTTTTTTGTGAATATATAAAAATAAATTCAAAAAATATAAGGAACTATGACGGAATATTTTTAAATAAGAATCATTTTTTGATAATTTAAAAATTTATTTTTTTGTTTTTTAACCTTAAAAATAAATTTAAGGACAAAAAATATTTTTTGGCCGCGTCAGACGACGAAATTTTTTACGAAGGCGGTGTAAAGAATATTTTTTTCGAGAACAATGAATAAATACAAAAAGCGGCGAGAACAAAAGAAAATTAAATAAAAATATTTTTTACAAAAAACCGGTCCATCAATTTTTGTTTTTTACGCCCTTGACCGCAACGTAATACGAAAATAAATAAAATTGATTTTTCCGTGCTTGAATGATTTAAAATACGCGCATATTTATTTTTTTATATAAAAATGTTTTGTGGTGTTTTTTCACTGTAAAAGCAGAAAATGTCGATCGAGAATATAAATCTACGTTTATTTATTCATTTATTCAGTTTTCACCTTTAAAATAAAATATTTTAAATAAAAGTTTTTTTTTAATTTATTAATAAAATATTTTTTTCAAATTTAATTTTCTAAATGTTTTATTTCCATTTATTGACGTTAATACACGTATTTAAAATCAATTTAAATCTATATCGGATTTTAATATTTCATTGAGAATTTAGAAATATTATATATATTTTATTTATTTTAAAAATATTTTTAAAAAATATTTCTTTAATTTTATTACAAACTTTTATTAACTCAAAACTTTTAAATATCTTTTTTATACTAAATAAATTATTTGACTAATAACCATTTTCTTCTTTTAAAAACACCAACCAACCACTTCAAACAATCGTTGACACTTATATTTTTGTAAAAATGTAAGGGGAAAGAGTGATTGCTTAAAAAATAAACTGTCAACCGTTTCAGTTCTCAAAAAATCTTTTACTAAAATTTTTAAATGTTAGATTGTTAGTAATATCTAGGAAATTTTTAAATATTTTTTTATTGTCATTTTGTTGTGCTGGTCTAATTTATGCCTCCAATGATAAGTGTTGTTCAATGCAACCTAGCATTTAACTGTAAACTCAAACAGGGAATCTGAATACGCAACCAAGGGCCGTAGTACCAGCCCAAGGAGCTGTCTGAGACTAGTTTAAGGGCCCTTGCCTCAATTCCCTGACTATGTACCAAATGATCTGGAGGATTCACAAAATTAACTTTGTGATTACAATGTAATTGGAGATTATTAATACCACCATAAGTGGACCATCCCATCATTGACAATAGTTATTGGACTCATAAACTATAACAGAGCCTGACTAATTTTATTTTTAAATTTATTTTAACTCTTTTTAGATAAAAGTTTGATTATTCTTTAAATTTATTTAAATGTGTATTTCCCGAATTGGACAAATAATTTATGGAGGGTTAACTGGTATTACTATTGCGCTTATTTGTGCATCAATGTTCACTCCAGGTACAAAATAAAAATAAACTTTTAAAACAATTATTACAAAAAATATTATTAATCAATTACTAAATTAACCTCCAATTTATTTCAAAAATTTTCAAAATAATTTATTTTTTAATTTAAAGGTTGGCGCCGTCTAACTCTCCATGTTAACGACTCCTTTAATTCTCTCAAAGAAGGCAATCCCTCTGCTATGCAAAATATAACAAATATGAATTTTGGAATTTTTCTTTGTCAAATACCCAATCCCCAACAACAATCACCATCCCCAAATTCTTTACCTTTATCTGATAATAATTCACCAAAAGAAGAAAATGAAGATTCTTGGAAAAAATCTTTAAATTATTGTGAGCAGTGGTTTAAGGTGAGGTGAAGGGGGAATGGGGGAGTGAAGGGGGGAAGTTATTAATTAAACGGGAGGGGGGGGGGGAATATTTCTTCAAAAAAGAAGGAAACGGTAAATGTCCAGTTGACTCCCCACCTGTCCGCAAAGAGAATACGCAATTTTCACTCGTTTTCTTGCATTTTTTCTGTAAGGAGAAGCGCCCAATTTTCCTTTATGTAAGGTATGCCCTTTGACTCATGAAAAGATACATATAGAGAAAAATATAATAATAATTAAATAATTAATTCAAATTTCAAAAACCCGGTTTTCAGTTTTGAGTTTTGGTAATATACCGGTTTTTCTGCGATTTTTTTAAATTCGTTCATTTTTATGAAGTTTTTAAAATTTCATATAAAGGTTAATTTTTGGCAAAAAAATCTAAAAAATTCCGGTTTTAAAGCTGGTCGATCTAGCATTTAGATTAAGCTGTTTTGTCAAATAACAGACGGTTATCATTCCTATATTATCATCATTAAAATGTTGTTAGCCCCCCTGATCTTTTAGAAAAATAAATAAAATTAGCCAAAGTTTGTTTTCAATTTTTATATTTTTCTCTACATATCTTTTCATGAGTCAAAGGGCATACCATACAAAAGTCAAAGGGCATACCTTACATAAAGGAAAAATGGGCGCCTCTCCTTACAGAAAAAAATGCAAGAAAAGGAGTGAAAATTGCGTATTCTCTTTGCGGACAGGTGGGAGTCAACTGGACATTTACCGAAGGAAACTTTAGAATAGGATATTTCTTTTTTCAAAAATAAATTAAAAATATTTTTTACAGTTACGTTCTGATTGGGAAAAAGTTGTAATTATTGCGATGATTCTGGCATTTTTACTTTCATTAATAGCTTTTATTTTGAATTTCTTTTCTTTTTGTTCGTGTGCTTGTCGACTTTCTATTTTAATGAGACCACTTCCTTTACTTGCTGGATTGACGTTTATTTGTTTGGTTGTTGGGCTTGGATTGTTTTGGATTAAAAATCAAGATTATATTGGTTAGTTGATTGGGGGGGGGGGGGGGGGGTAGGGAGGGGAAGGGGGGGGGGGGAGTAATGGGTAATTTAATAAATTCTTTTTAAAGCTCAAATAAAAATAAAAGTTAATGACTTGGATATTGACTCTATAAAATCTTCTGCTGTTGATGTAGTTAAATTTGTTAATAATTTGGATGAGGTAATTACAAATAATTTACAAAATTTTCTCTTTTTTGTTTAGAAAACAACAACAAAAGGAGGAAATGAAGACAATCAAGGAAATGTTGACAATAAAGTTTCGTATTCATTTTATTTGGGTTGTGGGGCTGCTGTTGCAGCGTTTGCAAATATTGTTGTTGGGTCTTTAATTGTTTGTTTTGCTTGAAAAGAAAATATTTTTGAAGAAAAGAAGAGAAATTTTAAATAAATTATTTTTAATGCATTTTAATTTTAATTAATTAAATTTTGGGAAAGGGTTTGTAAATAAATAAATTGTTTTCTTAATTTAAAAAATATTTACAAACCTTTTCTTAATTTTTTAAATTAATTTCTAATTAATTTCATAATTTTAATTTTTTATTTACCGGTGTATTTATAGACTTTTAAAAGTGGACTTTTTTTATAATGACCATTTAAATATTCGGGTTTTTAATTAAATAAATATTTTAATTTTTGGAGTGGTTTTTGATAATTTTGATTGAGTGATTGTTTTATTATTTCAGAAGAAAAATGAAAAAAATATATTAAATTAATTAGTAATTTTAATTAAATTTAAAAACAATTAATTACCGTAGATTCTCTAATTAAAGCACATGCTCTTCTATTTTCGACCCCCTCGTAGGGTGTGCTTCTATTAGATAATTTACTTTATTTTTTTACTTTTTTTTCATTTATTGCGCAAGAAAAAAAATATTTAAACAATTGTTTAGTGTATTTAGTAATTCTCTTTATTTGTCCTCTTTACAATATTTGCGCGAATTTATTTGACCTTTTTGAAAAAATATTTCTCTTCTTTGTACACTTTACTTTTTTAAACAAAAATATTTTTAATACAAATTAACTAAATATTTTTTTAATATTAAAAAAAAACAAATTTAATTATTTAAATTTTTATCAAAAATTTTCTTTCAACTTTTTAATTTAAAAAGTCCCCCAAAATTATTTTTTGTTTAAAAAGCTTTTAGGATTGGAGTGATGACTAAACACGACCTTTTTTAAGAGAGAGGTTAGCGGTGGCAAAGAGAACATCTGCCATTCATTCAAATTGTTTGAATGATAGAAGCAATTATAAATATTTTTTTTGAGTGAGGAAAAAATTGGAATAGTTTAGAGGGAGGGAGAGGGCTTTGTAATTGGTGGAAATTGATTATTAATTTTTTTGAAAAATTAATTTAATTTTTTGTTATATTTATAAATTAAATTAATTCCCATCACTCTATCCCTCTAAAAATTTTGATTTTGAGGCCCCAGATTAATTTTTTATTTTTTTCTGCCTCGGAGTGGTCAAATTTCCTTCTTTATAAATGGTGATTTTGCCGTTGCCAACTATTTTTTCCTTCCTAATTTTCTTATAATGTTTGGGGGAAATAAATGATTGACATTGAAAACGAAAATTAATCAGAAACTCAATTAGAGGGAGGCTGGATATTAACAGTATAGTATCTTTTTTAAATACAAATTTAAAATCCAATTATATTTAGACCTAATTAAGGGGAGGTTGGATTTAAAGTAAAATATTTAAAAAAAATTTTTAATGTTAGCTAAATAAATAAAAAAATTTTAAATAAAAAATTTTTTTTATTTAATACTTATTTACCTCCTCTCTCTACCATCATCCATTAAATTAATTTATTTTTCATTATTTTATTAAAATATCCACATTTCATTTAATTTATTTAATTTAATATTTTAAGAGAAATTTAAAAAATGATTAAATTCTTTGAAATTTTAATTTTATTTTTTAATTTATTTTCTTTAATTTATTCTGAAAGTGGTGGAGATACTAAAGAATGTTTAGAAAAGGTTTAGTTAAATATTAGTTTTAAATATTTAGAGGGACTTTCCAGACTAAAAAACGGGATTTGAGGTGAGAGAGGGAGAGAGAGAGAGAGGGGGGTGGGGGAGAGAGAAAGTTTTGTTTTTGTTTCCAAACAAATTTAATTTATTTTCAATTATTTTTAGGTAAATAAAGGTGATTGTGGAGCTTTTATTTCCTGTTGCAATTCAAAATGCAATCCAAACCAAAATCAAAACCACAAATGTTTTGCTTTTATGGATGAAATTCAAAAAGACCAGACTTTTTGTTTTTGGTTAATTTTTTGAAAAAAATAATTTAAAAGATTTCAATTCAATTTCTAGTTCAACCCCAACAATAAACAACAACCCTCCTCCTTCCCCTCCTTCCCAGCCCCAACAAAATCAACAATCTTTTAATAAATTATTTGACGATTCTTTTCCATCAAAATCTCTATTTTCTTTAAATAATGAAGGTATTTAGTTAATTAAATTAAAAGAATTTAAAATTCAAAATATTTTTAAGATTTATTTGATATATTTTAAATACTTTATAATTAGATAATTCAAAATCTTCTTCCTCTTCCTCTTCCTCCTCCTCCTCTTCTTCATCATCTCTTCCTTCCTTCTTTAATAATAATTTATGGAAATCCCCTTCTTCACTTTTTGGATTTTCTTCAATTCCTTCTTCCCCTTCAAACAATTTTCAGCAACAAAATAATAATAATTTATTTAGTTCTTCATTTTTCACTAAAACAACTGAAAAACAATTTGGGTTTGTAGTTACTTTTTGATTGAAAAAAAAATTTAATTAATTAAAGTAATCAACAACAACCTCCCCTCGTCCCTTCTCCTCGTCCAAAACCGGGAAATCCCTCAGATGGAAGACATTTATTTTTAACTTCAACCCAAACTTCCTCATCTATTGGATTAAAAAGAATAATAAACAAAAAGGACGGGGACAGTTTAATTGGACGAAAAATGGATTTTGTTGGGGGAATTATTCTTTTATTTGTTTTTGATTTATTATTATTAAGTTTAACTATTTAATTTGGTAATTAATTGGGAATTAAGAATGTACAGAAAAATAAATTGGGATTGAAAAAATATACATACATATATACCTATACTATTCTAGTCTTTACTTTTTAAATATTATCGGCATTATTTTCGGAAATAATATTTAGTTGTGTTTATATTTTTATTGTTTTTACTTTAGGTTTTGATTAACTGACCGAAAGGATTCAAAAAGATTCAAAAACAAATTGAATATAGTAGATATTAAACTTAAAGAAAAGGGGGGATCATATCTAAGGACTTACTAAACACAACTATTAATTAACCCCTTATTTTCTATTTATTTCACTTCATTTATTTAATTATACTTTGAAAATTTTAAAATAAATAAATATATATGGATGGCTTTTATTTTATAAAAAAGAATTTACATATATTTAATTATTTAATTGTGCAATCATTAAACGAATAAAAACAACAAAAAGAAAAATAACCAAAATTCTAGCCAAAATAGATAAAAACAAATCCCTCAATCTGTCAGCTCTATATGTTGGCGAAATTGAAGAATTTTCAACATCATTATTTTGGTGATAAGGAAATATTAATTGAGTTCTTCCAACATCTTTTTAAAAAAATTATATATAGAAATAAGGGAAAGTTTTAAAATGGTTTTTCGATTAAATTTAAAGGAAATTTAAAATATTTTTAATAATTAGTAGAGTTGAAACCCGGACCGGATCCGGGTCGGGATTCGGTAGTCCCGATCCAGGTATTTTGATAAAAATAGGGATTTTCCCGAAACGGGATCCGGCATTACCCAAACTTTCAACTTTAATAATTAATTTAATTTACTATTATTATTTCTTTGATTGTTACAACAACAATTGTTATTTAAACGAGAATTACAAGACAAATTATGTCTAGTATTTTGTTGTTGTTGTGATGTTCTTCTACTATTATTTGTTTGTCTTGGTGTTGTATTTAATTCTCTTCCTCTTCCAGAATAACTTGGAGGGGGAGTATCTTTAAATTTAAAAAAAAATAATTATTTTTAAAAACAGACAAACAAACATTGAGTAATTGAAAATATTTGTTGTTGTGATTGGTTAGTAGAAGATGAAGAAGATGATGAAATTGCTTCTGAATAACTTGGTGGAGGACCTAGAAGCATTTTATTTTTGTTAAAAAATAAATAAATAAGCTGAAAATAAAATAAAAAATTTTTTATTGAGAATATGGAAAATAAATTGTAGTTGACAAACTCTTTATAATAATTAAATAATTCAACAAAATTAAGTTTAATTTTTTATAATTTCAAATTTAGTTTTTTGTATAAATCGAATAATTATATGTAAATATATTTTCTCATAAATTTCAAATAAAAAATTTTAATCCTTTGTAAACGATTTAGTAGAAGTGGCAATACAGAAAGTAATTAAACAAGTAATTTTTAATTAAAAATTTTTATTTTAAAGGAGTAAGTAAGTAAATGTATTGATCTTCTTCTTTTTTTTTTATTTTTAAGGTTTACTCACCCAAAGATGGTATAATGATGATTACTACATAAATATATGAGAAATAAAATTGAAAAGTAGGGGGGAAATAAACGTTTAAGAATGAGGGAAAAATAAAAATTGGGGTTGTATTTAAATAAATAATTTTAAAAATTAAAGGATTTTTAATTATTTTTTAGTAAGGATGCATATCTATCAAAATTCAAAAAATCCTTTTATTTATTTATTACTAATTTTAAATTCCTTAAATTATTTATTAAAAAATACAAATAATAACTAAATATAAAAATATTTTTTTAGTAAATTAAAGAAAAGGGGAACACACAAACAAACATAACGGAAAAAAATTGAATGTACGCCTAGGCATTAAAAAGAATTTTTTGATAGAAAATTATTGGTAAAGAATATATTTATTTATTTAAGTGATTGGGTGTTAGTAAATGACGAGAATATTTAAAATAAATTATTTGGAATATAAAAAAAGAGAAAAGTGAAAAGTAAAGTTTAGTTGGAGGAGGGTTTTCACTTTATTTGTTAATTTCCGTTGAGTGTAAAAACTTTAAAATAATAAAATAGTTTAATAATTAAATAACGAAAAAATTAAACGAAAAAATTTTTTTTTTAAATTGTAAAATAATCTAAAATAAAAAATCTGAGAATTATTTTAAATTTTTTTGGCTGTTTCCTCATGTGTTTAATTTACTAAACTCATTTTTGAATGAAGATCCAATAAAAATTTTGCATAAAAAGTGATTAATAATTAAATAAATAATATATTTAATTTATATTAGCTTTTTCTCTATGAGTCAAAAAACGAGAATTTAAATTAAATAAAAAATAA